GGACTTGTTGGTTTGGCTCCATCCATGCAGGGCAGCAGGCTTGATCCTAAAAGTACAGAAGCCAAGCTCCTCTCTGTCCCCATGGGCATCACTTTCTTACCAAGGGGACAAGACACACTCCTATGACTGGGTTTTAGAGAGGCCCAGGAAAGTCCCTCACTCCCCCATCGTTTTCTTGAGGCAACTCAGGTACCTCGCCTCGGGAAGGGACAAAACCTTTAGTTACTCGTCAGCATGAGCATGGTCTGGGCCATGCCTGGGGGCAGACAGAAAGGTGCTTTTTTATAAAATTCGAAGCCAACAGGTTGTGCCAACAGAGGCTAGGCTTGAAGGAACAGTGCATGAGCAATGGAGAGAGATTTCATGCCAGGCCAGTCCTTTCCCATTCAGATTCAGAGTGTCTAACAAGGACGGGGTTGAAGTTGAGAGTGTGAACCATTTCAACCCAATACATATTTACAACACCTACTAGATACCAGACACTCTGCTAGGAACATGGGTAGTAAGTTAAAAACAATACTTTGCCTTAAAAACTTCAAATAAGTTGGGGAAATTAATATAATATATATATTAGAGACCCAGGCCATGAAAATTCGTGCACTCAGGGGACAGTGGGTGGGCGGTCCCTCAGCCCAGCCTGCGCCCTCTCACAGTCAACCTAAGCCAGCAGGAGGGGTCCTAAGGGGTCCTTAGCGCTGTCTCGGAGGTGGGTGAGGCTCCCACCACCGCCACTGAGCCCACTTGGCAAACCTGGCTTCTGGCACACTGACCACCAGGGGGCAGCACCTGCGTTGAGTATCTGCCCCCTGATGGTCAGTGCACATCATAGTGACTGGTCGTCTGGCTATTCAGTCGATTTGCATGTTAATCTTTTATTATATAGGACTAGAGGCAAGAGTAGGCCTTTGCAGCCTGGCTTCATCTGGAAGGTTGTCCAGACAGTCATTCTACTGTTCGGCCGTTTGGTCGATTTGCATATTATGCTTTTATTATTATAGAAATGTATGTGTCTATATATACTATGTATATATATGATAGCTTAGGGCAGTGGTCAGCAAACTCACTAGTCAACAAAGCCAAATATCAACAGTACAACGATTGAAATTTCTTTTGAGAGCCAAATTTTTTAAACTTAAACTTCTTCTAATGTCACTTCTTCAAAATAGACTCACCCAGGCTGTGGTATTTTGTGAACAGCCACACTCAAGGAACCAAAGAGCCACATGTGGCTCATGAGATGCAGTTTGCTGACCACTTAGGGAACATGTCAACCAAGTACAATATTAAAAGAGTTGTATGTGAACACATTAGTCTGATCCTTCCTGACTTTGACTTCCTTCTATGAGAAATTCTAATAAATACGTGCTTACCTTCGTATATTTCTTTAGAAAGTCAGGAGGGCTGAGCCCTGACCACATACACTGAAAGCCACTCTTACTAGAGTCAGAGAAGAAAAGAGGGACTAGAGGTGAGAATAGGAAAGGAGGTGGAGCAGACGGCCAAAGAGCAGAGATTTCATGCCAGGCCAGTCTTGATAAATTCAAGTAGATGAGTAGTGCATTAAAAAGTGTCCTCTCCCCTCCAAAATTCTCAATCACAGCCTCAGAACATGACTTTATTTGAAAATAGGATCTTGGCATAGGTAAGGGTAGAGATGAGGTCATACAGGATTCAAATGGCCTAAATGCAAAGAGAGGCAGAAAAGAACATGAAGATACACACAGGGCAGAAGGCCAGTGAAGACCGAAGCAGAGACTGGAGTGATGATGCCACAAGCCAAGGAATGCCAGGAGCCACCACCAGCTGGGATGGGCAGGAAGAGCCTCCCCTAGAAACTCTGGAGGGAGTGTGGCACTGCAGACACCTTGATTTTGGACTTCTGGCCTCCGGAGCTGTGGGAAAATACATTCCTGTGTTTAAGTCACCCAGTGTGTGGCAATTTGTTATGGCAGCCACAAGAAATTAATACAATGAGGAAAAGTACAAAGTAAATCAGGTCCTTAGAAGTGGGAATGAGCCTGAGAGGAAGAAGGTGGGTACTAAGCCTGAAAGAGTCATTGATAGCATGTGCTTCTGCACAGATACCAAGGCCAGGACTGGGACCACCGCCCTGGGAGCTGGAGGAGGGTTGAGAATTACCTGCTGAGCTGTGCCTCACTGGTTAAACAGCATCATTCTAAACCTTTCTATTGTAAGCACCCATTTATGTGACACCTCTAAGTCACTGCAGAAAGAAAGAAGGGCAATGCAGCTGTGAGCCAAGGAGCCAGGCCTGGCTGAACATCAGGCCCATCACCCCCTTGGCTGGTGCCAGCCTGCACTCCATCTCCAGGGCCCCGCAGGCAAGACAAGGGAGGTGGAAAATCAGCCTTCCCAAGTCCCCTGGTCAGGAAGAGACTGAATATGTGGATGGAAAATGAGGCTCAGAAAAGAAAAACCTCTTTGCGTGCATATTATCTGCAACAAAGCAAAACAAATATGCAAGCATCTCCCTAAAACTACTCGAAAGAAAAGAAAACACTTTTTTTTATTATTATAATTTTTTTTGGAGTCACATACCCGCTACTACTAATTTAAAATGTGCAAAATGCCAATTATGTTGTCTTTTTACAGACATCAGTTTTAGAATTAATGTAATAATAAAAAGACTTTTCATATATTTTCCCCACTCAAAATCTTATTTTTCCACTAGACCTCACACTCTGCAAAAGCAAATTTTCCTCGTCATGGTTCGGCCTGGTGAAAAGTATTTCCAGGCCCCTCAACTGGGGTGGCTGAGCTAAAAGCCTTGATTTACATGGGATTCTGAGGACATGCGGCATTTTCTGCACCACTAGCTCCTGTCACGTAGTATCTTCCCACCCACCCGTCTGCTCCTCGGCCCCTGGATGGCAGAAACTGCTATGTTCCCGGTGTTCAACTAAGCATTTGATGAACCAAACAAAGCTGAACGGGAAGGTTGCCTGAAATAAAGGCTTCACGAGGCAGGAGGACCGAGAGAAGCAGTGGAGGATAGCCACCCAGTAGGGCTGTGGAGTTCGGGGATGGGCAATGGTCCTGCAGAGCTCTCTATATTGCAGGCAGCGGGGAGCTACCCCAAGTGAGTAGTTGTCATGGCTTGGAAGGTTCACTCTGGAAGCAGGAAAAGGTAGGCGTGTTTGGGGGAAGGTGATAAGTTAAAACAAAAAAGGAGGCAAAAAAAGCAATAAGGAATCCAGTGAGCACCAATTCAGGCAAGAGATGAAGAGGGTCTGAGCAAGAGGAGCAGGAGCAGGATGGAGAAAGTGAAAGGGACAATCAGAATCAGAAGCAGAAGCAGAAGCAGAACAGTTTGGATGCTGTTGGATGGGGTCTGTTTGTCTGAGCCTGAGTTCCTCCACAACTGCCGCACCACCTGCAAAGGCAGAATCCCAGACAGAAGTGTGTGTGTAAGTAGGAGATTTGGGCAAGGACCCTGGGGAGCGATGGAGAGGAGTCAGAGCACTGCAGCAAGAAAGAGCAAAGCAAAACCAGGATGAGGAACTTGATTAGTGACTCCATATCTCTAGGACCTTTGAGCAGCCATTCCACCCCACACTGGCTCGTGTGTGTCCACTGCCCAGCTGACCCCTGGTTCCTCAGGTGTCCCATGTCACCTCAAAGAATTGAGCTCAGCTCTATGTTTTACTCTTTTTAACAGCAACTTTTTTCTGATTTTTGAATAGGGGGCACTTAATTTTCATTTTGCACAAATTATGTAGTCTGTCCTGATTCCTATAAGGAAGGCAAACTCAAACACAGGTATCAACGTGTCATGATCTTATTTGGATGATGGGTGGTGTGTGTGTGTGTGTGTGTGTGTGTGTGTGTGTGTGTGTGTTTCCAGTTTGCATTAGACCCTGTTTATGGGAACAGGCCAAGGAGGGCCCAGGGTTTGATGCTCAGGTGTGCTATTACTGCCATCTTGTGTTCAACTCATGCACAGCACAGAGCTCCCAGAGGAGACTCCCAGGCAGGGGCACTGGGGCTGCTAGCGGAAGTAGGTGCAAATAAGACATTGTGCACATGTTCGTAGTAGCATTATTCACAATAGCCAAAAGGAAGAAGCAAAGCAAATGTCCATCTACAGATGAATGGATAAACAAAATGTGGTATATCCATACAATGGAGTATTTATTATTCAATCATAAGGAAGAGGGAAGTATTAACACATGCTATAACATGAATGAATCTCAAAGACATGTTAAGCGAAAGAAGCCAGTTACCAAAGGACAAGTGTATGATTCTACCTCTTTGAGCTATATAGAGGAGTCCAATTCATAGAGACAGAAAACAGGACGGTGGTAGCCTGAGATTAGTAGTGCAGGGTGATGGGAAGATACTGTTTAATGGGTACATAGCTTTGCAATATAAAAAGTTTGGGAGATAGATGGTGGTTATGATTGCACAGCCATGTGAATGTACTTAATGCCACTGAATTGTACATTTAAAAATGAATGGGATGACCAGAAAGCTCCTTGTACTACAGACTGAAATAAGCAGTTTTTAAATGCCAAAGTTCCCCTTCCAATACAGAATATATATATTGGAATTATATCATCGCTAACATCAGCATAATCATCATCACCATTATAATGGAAAGAGATTTACTACATCTACAGGAGGGAAAACAGAGGAGTTGACAATAATTGTAGGTTTCTGGCGAGTAGGCCCCTAAACTGAATGGAGGCTATAAGAGCAGGAGCAGGTCAGATGGAGGACTTATGGGAAGAGACTTTGGTGATAAGGAATGGTGGTGGGGGGCAGGGACTGAAGGAAAGGACTTCGGTAGGAACGAAGGCCGCTTAGAGAATAGGTAAAGCCGGAGGAAAGGGAACATAAGGCTGCCCAATCGACATCAGAGCTGCGTTCTCGGGTTTGCAATTTGCCCAGGTCCAGTTCATTACCACGCCCCCTACGTCACAAGCCCCGCCCCGCGGGTGTCAATAAAGTTGCAGCGGTTTGACTTTACAGCGAACAACATGGCGACCTCCATGCTGGGCTCACTGCTGCGGACCGTCCGGCAGGTTAGGCCCGGGTCCTACTCCCACCCTTCCCCCTTCCTCCGGAACCCCCAAACCCGCGGGCATCCCACTGCTCTGCCACCTGCAGAGCTCGGCGCGGACCCGCCCCAGGGGGTCCCCTGCTCCGGCCCGAGCCGCCGATGTAAACTCGGTTGCACGCTGCAGCTTGACCTGATCTATAAGTGAGAGCAGGTGGGCCTGGGCAGGGGGCTGAGGGTGAGGCCAGGGATCCGCGGATAAAAGATGAGAGCGGAGCAAAGGAGACTTGAGAAGAGCTCAGCGGGGGAGGAGGAGAGCCCGGAGCGGGTGTCCTGGAGGCGGGAGGTGACAATTCCCAGGAGCGGGGAGCTAACGGCCAGTTACAGGGCTGAGACCCGGCGGCGGCGCTCAGTGGCTGAGCGTGGACCTGTGAACCCGGAGGTCACGGTTCAATCCCCGGTCAGGGCACGGGCCACGGCACATGCCCGGGTTGCGTGTTTGGTCCCCAGGGTAGTGTGTGCAGGATCTATGATTCTCTGTCGTCATTAATATTTCTCTCTCCCTTCCTTTCTGAAATAAAAAATACATTTTAAAAAACGAAGGGCTGAGAACTGGCTACCGTGGTTAGCATGGTGGAGGCTGTTGGGGTGAAAGCCCTCAAGAGAGAATGGGGAAGAAAGCGGACGTTTGGCTGCAAAATGGGACCGAGAAATGGATCCGGAGCTAGAGTGATGAGTAAAGGCAGGATGGGGATATGGCAGAGCCTGGATCTAACTATCCCTCATTTATTCTTTATTTTTTTTAGATGGTTCCTTCATCAGCTTCAGGCCAAGTTCGAGGCTACTACGTAGACTGGAGAATGTTGCGTGATGTGAAGAGAAGGAAAATGGCCTATGAATATGCAGATGAGAGGCTACGGATTAATTCGATTAGGAAGAATGCCATTTTGCCAAAATACCTTCAGGTTAGATAATTAAGATGAGTCCCTGACCATCTAATATCTTTAACTCAAATCAGACCACTTTTGAAACTTTGTTGTGACTTACTGTCAAAATAATTTCTGGAGAATATGATCAAATGTTCTCAGTCAACACAAATGAATACCCTCGAAACTGATTTTGGTGAGTTTCAGATTGAAGAGAATTATTCATGCCAAGCCTTTAACCTTTGTATTAGGTGATGCTTAGAAAGTACTGGGGCATGCTAACCACACCAGAAACTGGGCGTTATTTGACCTCGGGACTCCCCCTCCCGTGCTCCCGCCTCATTCCGTGTCCTGAGCTCTGCTGATGCATGGGCTGTGTTCTTCACCTAGGGCCATGCCTAGCCTACCTGTCTGAACTCCATTACCCATCTCTGTGTGCTGAGGTGGCCTTCCACTTAGGTTTACTTTTTTATCAGATCCTTAACTTGAATAAGAGGATGACAATACTGTTTGGCATCCTGAAGCAGAAGGTCCTGCATCAACCTGGTGACAGATAGAATACCTGCATTCAAGAGTAGCATCGGGGGGTATAACTCAAACTCAAGGTCACTCAACTTATCAAACACTCAGAGTAAAAATAAAATACATTTGTAGAAGTTGGCAGAATATATAGGCCATTAATTACAATGGATTCTTTTAAATCTTGTCTAGATTAAGCCAGATGAACAGAAAACTGAGTATGCTGGACCACTCATTACGGCTTTTACTGTAATGGCACTTGCCTATATTTAGGGAGTAACAAGAAGTGGCCCTCTCGCCTCAGGATGTTGTGGAGGGCATTATTTATGAAGACTCCCTGGAGAAATGTGTCTGGTATAAGCAGCAATAATAGTTGTGCCGAGATTCTCTGAATTATGAGACCTGATCGTGGCCCTGTGCATAGTAGCTTCCAACTCAGTATTTACGTCCCAGTTCTAACCAAATTACAGCCTTTCAGAGCACATAGCTTTGTCTCATTTTCCCTTTGCCCCAATTTCCTCATTGTAAACTGCTTTAAAGGTGTTTGGGAACAAGGAGTGGTAGGGGAGCGTGTGTGTACATATTATGAACATACGTACGGTAAATAAATAATTTGCAGCTGTTCCTCAGTTTCTGCCCTATGAAACTTCATTCTTCCAATCTGGTCATTTCTCTCTTCTCCAGTTCTTCCTATAGTACTTAGTCTGTAATTACTTATTTCCCTTAGTCAATCAATACCTAATTGTGTTGTTTTATATAATTCTAGCAACAAATGCTTTTGGAGGTCAGGAACATAAATGCTTAATAATTTATGTTAATTTAGTGGCATTTTCTCATTTATGTTCTTTTAATACATTGGAATAATTATTTTGCTTCCACACCAGTCTAACCAGTCTAATACTTGCTACTGTAGTAATCTCTGTTTTTCTCCTCTCAACTACTTTTGCCCTAATCAGACTCACTCTCTGCCTTGCAAATGATCTTTTAAATATGTAAATCTCATCTGATCACTCACTTTTGCTTTTCTATCAGTCAGAATCTTTACCACAGATGAGGATCCTACCTTTAATCCATCTCAACCACATTTGTTCCTATTTCAACTTCAGTCCAGAAGTTTCATACTTTCATGTCTCAAAAATCAGGAAATAACCTAACTTTATACCCCAAGGAACAAGAAAAAGATCAAATTAAGCCCAAAATTAGCAGAAGAAAATAATGATAAAAGCAGAAATAATGAAATGAAGACCAAACACTAAAGATCAGAGTAATCATGAGCTGGTGATTTTTCTGGTCTGTTTGTATCTACTGAGGTTAAGGCTCCCTCCTATGTTCAGGGTTCTTGGGCCAAACTCTGGCTACATTAGTGAATCTAGCCTATTGTTTTCTTCCTCTGAGCATTGACTTCATGTCGGTGTAACAATGTTGTGACTTCCCTTAGGAAGTGGCTGATGAAGAAATTGCTGCCCTTCCCCGGGATAGCTGTCCTGTTAGAATCAGAAACCGGTGTGTTATGACGTCCCGTCCACGTGGTGTGAAGCGGCGTTGGAGGCTTAGTCGGATCGTCTTCCGTCACTTAGCTGACCATGGGCAGATGTCTGGAGTCCAGCGAGCAATGTGGTAAACTGCCTTAGCTCCAGAACCTCCTGAGCTTGCAGGGAACCAGTTCTGATAAGACAACCCTCTTCTAACAGACAAAAACCTAGTTTTAACAGGCATCCAGTATAGGAGTCTAGTCTACCTGATGTCTATTTAAATTACTTTTAAATTTTCAGCCGAAACCGGTTTGGCTCAGTGGATAGAGCGTCGGCTTGGGGACTGAAAGGTCCCGGGTTCGATTCCGGTCAAGGGCATGTACCTTGGTTGCGGGCATATCCCCAGCAGGGGGTGTGCAAGAGGCAGCTGATCAATGACACTCTCTCATTGATGTTTCTAACTCTCTATCTCTCTCCCTTCCTCTCTGTACAAAATCAATAAAATATATTAAAAAAAAAAATTTTTTTCAATGAAGAAACCTAGATGTTTCGTTCTGTCAGTGAATTATCTTTCCTGTTGGATTAATGAAGCATATGTGTTCCCAAGATGATGCAGAGTAATAAAAATATTTTCTGTGAAAATATGCTCTGTATGCTTGCCTTTTCCTTCAAATTTAATCTTCTAGCAACAACAAAAAAGGGTTCTTGTATTTAAGGGCATTATCTCAGCAGGATTTATCTTCTAGTTCATCCAAATTATCGACATGGAGCTAGCTAACCTATGGCAGGCGACCTGTATTGCTGATCTGGCTTTTCTAACCTGCACAATTCACTGTTCTGTTAGTTCGTTGTTAGAAAAATAGTATGTGGGAATGTAGAGCTGATGTCTGGATTAGCTAATGCTCAATTTTTGTATGATGGCTGAATGAACAGCAGAACCCCACTAAGTGTTTTCTTGTTCCACCTTCAAGGGGCCTTAGAACAAAGCCCCTGAAAAATCTATGCAAAGAGGAAACGTTCTGTTGAGAGTATATAGTCTCTGTATATAGTCTCTGTAACAAAAATGAGTAAAAATAGCAGTAACAGTGTGATCAGCCCAGTGATAACGGCGTTCAGCACTGACTTAATGTTGGGACAGTATTCCTGGAGCCGACACCTGCACTTACAACAGGAGACCAGGGATGCGACTCTGCAAACAGAACAGTGGAAGCAAAGGCACAGAGACATCAAACAGTGAAACTAGTCACTTCAGTGTATCAAACATGTAGTGCAAAACAAGGGCCATACCATGGAAAATGTCATACATGGCAAAAAGACAAGACTGAATTTAAATACCAGTTATTCGAGTTTTAAGCAAAGGAATGATATCATCAGCTTGCTCTACTGCTGTGTGGTAGAGATAGCCATGAGAGGAAAAGGCATCATACAAGATAACGGGTCAGGACAATGTCTTAAATTGTTCAGGTAGACAAGTGCCTGAACTGAAGTAGTGATATTAACAAAGGAGATGATGGGACAGATCTAAGTATTATTTAGGAAAGAAAACTGTGCTTATAATTAAGAAATAAAAGGGCTCTCTGGGTTCCTGGTAAGGGTGACTAGATAGATGGTAGAAGGCAACTCGCAGATAGAAGAACTGGGGGAAAAGAATGGGTTTAGGGAAAACAAGATCTCTAAGTTCAGGTTTCAGCCATGCACTGTGAGAGGCCTGTATCATCCTGAAGTCTACTGTGCAGGTGGATAGCAGGAACTTGGTGGAGATGGAGCTATGAGGGGAATTGTCAGTATACCTTGGATTCATATATCTTACAGTTTATAAACTGGAATGCTCTAGCAAATTCCTGCTAGAAACTAGTGTTAATCAAATTCTAACTAGAACATCACATTTGCTGATCTCTGGCATTTACTGGTAAGACACGCCCCAACTTTTTTTGTTTGACTCAGGATCCAAGTGCAATCCAAATTTGGTTGCTTTGTCTCCTTTTTCTCCATGTCTTTCGCTTATTGAAGGAGCCAACATATTTGTACTGTAGTGTCTAACATTGGGCTGTTTGTAGCGTCATGTGTCCTTCACTAAGGATGGCAATGGTGATATTTTAAATGCCATCATTTTTCTGCATTAGTTGCAATTTGTCTGTACGAAGTTTTCCTTATCAACAGTTTATTATTCTAAAAATACTCTTCTTACACTGAAGACCAGATAAATGCATGATTTTCTATCAATTTTCAGAGTAAATGAATTGATGATCTAGCAACTTCCAAAGGTAGCAAATAATCTTTCACTATCCCAAACTTGTAGATTTTGTTTCAATCCACTCCTGACATTATTTTGAGACTCAAATTAATCCTTCCCCTGCCCCTTATACTCTGATTGGGTCCTTTATCCTGTTGACTTGATACAGGATATATGATTTTCCCTCACTTTCTGGCTTACCTTTATATTTCCTGCCTCAGACATTTAAAAAAAATATATATTTTTATTAATTTCAGAGAGGGGAAGGGAAAAGGGGAGAGAGATAGAAACATCAGTGATGAAAGAGAATCATTGATTGGCTGCTTCCCACACTGGGTATCGAACCCACAACACAGGCATGTGCCCTGACCGGGAATCCAACCATGACCTCCTGGTTTATGGGTTGAAGCTCAATCACTGAGCAACACCAGCCAGACAGTTTTTTGCATCCTGGGTCCTGTTAGTAGGAAATGGTGTGTAGAGACCACATCTGAGTACTTGGGATGCTGCTCATTACTACTGAATTCTGAATTGTCATTGCTGTAAGCTTTTAGGCTCTTTTGGTGGGACTTGCAAAGAAATGGATTTTTTAAGATAAAAATAATTTTTATTGATTTTATACTTATAAAAATCTTAGCTCCTCATGATATCAGTCTGCTCTCACTATCTCACTAGTGATGGACAGTCAAAATACCATGTTTTAAAGTCATTTGAAAGTAACATGCATTTATAACTTGACATGCATTAGGTGTTTTCCCCCAAATTTTAGGGTTATTTTTTATTTAGCTTATTTTTTTAAAATATATTTTTATTAATTTTTTACAGAGAGGAAGGGAGAGAGAGCTAGAAACGTCGATGAGAGAGAAACATCGACGGGCTGCCTCTTGCACACCCCCTACCGGGGATGTGCCCGCAACCAATGTACATGCCCTTGACCGGAATCGAACCTGGGACCTTTCAGTCCACAGACCGACGCTCTACCACTGAGCCAAACCGGTTTCGGCTAGCTTTTAAATTTTAGATGGTTCTAAAGCCAAAACTAAAGAAAATGGTACATTCACAGAATTACTGCTTCCATCTTGTCTCTCCTTTCTCATTGCTTACCGTTTTTATTACTTTGGGTTTTTTCTTCCAGTTTCTTTTTGAAATACAAGCAAATACATGTATGTATGTGCATTCAAATTTCCACCCATTTTAACACTAAGGCAGGTAAGAACTGTGTTCTGCACTTTGCCTTTCCATTTACTGTATGCTGGTAATTATTCAATACACCAGTGTACAGATATAATCTTCATTTCTTTTTGTGACTCAAAGTACTCCACGTGTGAATGTACCATCGTTTACTTAGCTAGACATCTATTAGTTGACATATGGGTATTTCCAATCTTTTGCACCTATCACTCCAAATTCTGGCCAGTTGCCTTGGGGAAAGAGCCTAGAATTCTGAGCCAGGTGATAAATGCACTATCCCTCTACACGTTTAACCTTCTCATTGTTTTTATTTCATTCCCATATGTGAATTTCCCCATATCCTCAACAATCAGTATGCTCAACTTTGGGTTTTCCCAGTAAAAAGTAAGTGTTTTTAAATTTCTCTTCTGAACAAGGTGGGCATCTTTTTATGTTAAAGTTTAGTTACATTTCTTTTTTTGTGAACAATATCTTAATTTTGGAATCTTCTTGACACATCATGTATTTTTTATTATGAGATTTTTTCTTGGCTATGTAAACATTTATTATGTAGTTAAAATTAACCAATATTTAACCTTATTACTTCTAGATTTTAAGTCACATAATGTAGGTTTCCCTCACTCTTGGGTAATAATGGAGTTCTATCCACGTCTTCTAGTACTCCCAGGGCTTCACATATATACTAGCTTTCATCTGTTTGCAATTTATACATACGGTTATCTCAATAAAAGCCCATCTCTGCCCCTTGTTGAAATGCTATTAGAGGCATACCTTGGAGATATTGCAGGTGCAGTTCCAGACCACTGAAATAAATTGAATATCGCAATAAAGCGAGTTGTAATCTTTTTGCTGGTGGAGGGTCTTGCCTTCAATTTGTAAATAATGCAACACCTGTGAAGCGCAATAAAGTGAAGCTCAATATAACTTCTGCCTTGGGTCTTTTTCTATTCTGTTCCATTGGTCATGTATCAACATCACAGCTTTAATTATAGTTTTATAAAGTGTTCAGTAGTAACAATCAGCCTATATATAGGCTGTTTATTCATTTTAAATGCTACTTAACAAACTTTATTTTACCATTGGTATCAAATTTTCTCATTATAGTAGTCTTGGCTAATCTCCGCTTGGATTTCTTCTCTATGTGTTTGTTTTCTCTTACTCCTCAGTTGCATTGGCAAATACTCCATAATATAGTTATGGAGATCACAGGTTTTTTGCTCTTCCTCTTGTTTTTAGGAGCAGCAATTCCCTCTAAAATAAACAATTTCTCTCCCAAAGCCTAACTTTCCCTGGGTAAACAGATAAAGATATTCCACTGAATTAAAAAAAACTAACTTCACTGAAAATAGAAAAGATGGATTTTTATATCTGTTTTTAGCTTATGGTTATTGCTTTTTATAAGCTATCTGATCCGTGGTAAAACTTACTAATTGGTACTATACAAAGATATTTGTCTATTCTTGTCAAAATCAGATTTAGTTTCAATTTATTCATAAACTATATCTAAACCCAGAGAAAAATATTTGTTATTGGATCATTAGGACATTGTAATGCATGGTATATGTAGTAAGCTGCTAACAGAAAAGAAATATCTCTATAGCAACCTTGACGCACAGATACGAATTTGTATTTTCTGAAAAAAATTCAAGTTTTATTTACTTATTCTTACATTGGTGAGAACTGATGTCAAGAACTTAACAAGCAGTAACATCTTCCCCTACCTCTTAGCTGAACAAAAATACACACAATATGGCATTTTCATTAGGCAAGACTTGCTTTTTTACATTTTACATGAGAATGCAAATATTAAAATAACCAGTTAACTAAGGAAACCATCTTTAGAGGATCTGTTTAATAAGCATATTTTATTTAAATAAATCCTCCTGTAGGAGAATTCATTGCCTTTACTTAGAAGAAGGCTCTGTAAAATTATCTGTTAAAATTATCTGCAGCTCACCAACATGTCCTTATTGGAAATATCACTTTCCACATCACAATTCCCAAAAGAACTTTAAAGTCTCAAAATTCTGTCTCTCCTTTGGCTTGCTTCTCTCTTGATTGTACCCAGGCTTTATTAATGGTTCGCTTCATGTCATCATCTCCATCTTCATAAATTTTCTTTAAAACATTCATCAGTCCCTCACTAGGATCTGTTTCAGTGTCATAGGAGGGCTTTCTGTTAAAAAGAAAACGTAATAATTAAGAAATATGTATATATACATCTAAAAATTATGTGTGTGTATACACAAATGATCCCATTTAAGACAAATTTTATAAGCATGATTGATTACTAAGTATAGGAAAACACAAATCAGGTTAACATATCAAGTGTAGGAGTGGAGGTAAGGGGAAGATATTGAGTATCTTTAATATAGCATATAACAAATTCATCTTAATTAAAACAATATACACTCACACATTGTTTCTAGTTGTAGCAAAGAAAGGTCATCAAAATGGCTAGGGGTTTTCTTGGGACAGTGGGATTTTAGTTAATTTTTAGCAGAAAAAGTAAGTAAATAAGCATTTACTTTTCTGAACTGTCTGAATTTTTTTTTAAGCATGTTTCCTCATATTATTTGAAAAAAATATTTTGAGAGAAAAACACAAATGTACATTACATATGGACACACACTGAATTTTTTATATGTTTTAATTAGAAAAGCCCTCCTCTTAAGCCTGAGATATATGGGTGGGCCTGTGCCCAGCAGTAAAAACAACAGTCCTTAATGTAGGCAATACCCTTTGTGGAATCAATGTTCAACCTAGGCCTGTGGTCGGCAAACTGGGGCTCGTGAGCCACATGCGGCTCTTTGGCCCCTTGAGTGTGGTTCTTCCACAAAATACCACAGCCTGGGCGAGTCTACTTTAAAGAAGTAGCGTTAGAAGCTTAAGTTTAAAAAATTTGGCTCTCAAAAGAAATTTTAATCGTCATCGTACTGTTGATCTTCAGCTCTGTTGACTAATGAGTTTGCCGACCACTGACCTAGGTCAGTTCATATTTAATTCTTTACTCACCTCATTTATTAAGTGCCAGGTTATATACTGGACACTGGAGATAAACAGTAAGACAGGGTTCTGTACTCAGGTAATTCACTTTAGATTTAAAAATTAGTTCCATAAGAGACTGCCGAACTCTAGTCAACCACATAGCAAATGCAGGCTGACAATCAGAGTGAGACAAAGGTAAATGGCTGACTCCATATAGTACATTATCAATACAGAGTAATGTGTGACCTAAAATGGAAGTGTCCTTGAATAAACATTTTTTAGAATAGCATTAAAGTAGGATAAAAATATTCTATCTTTTCCACCCTACATCAGTTACAATGAAACTCCATAACTACATTATCAGAAACTTCTATGGAACTCAAAAACCACAGGCTATCTGGGTCTCTCTAGAACTAAAATGAAATCTCTGGGAATGGGCACCGTATCTAGAGACGCACTAGTGGTCCAGGGTTAAGAACCAGCACAAAAGAGCCAACCAAATGCAACATGCTGGACATTTCCAGTAGGTTCTGATAGTTGGAGCATATGTTAAGATAATTGGGTTAGTGGACACTGAGAAATAAGTGGTCAAATCACAGACTATACAACTCTATTATTTATAAAGACAAACTATTAAAAATCTATAATCCCAGCAAAGAACACATTAAAATTCTTAAGAAAATGAAAATGAACTCACTCTTTCTCTTTGCACTCTTTTTCAACCTGCGTCAGGTAGTCCCACCGTGTGTTTTCCGCTTTCTTTCTACATAAGATTATAACTGTATCTGTCTTGACCTACAATACACAGAGATAAGCATGAATGTTTAGAAGACAATTATTTATTCACTAATCATTACTTCAATGTGTAGGACCTGTTTTAGGAACTAGTAATACCATTATGAATAGAGGTCATAGTCTGAACTATCATGGAGAGGAAAGAGCACAATGGAAAATCAGAGTACTGTCAAATACTCTGTGCTCTCAAGGCAAAGAGGGTATTAATGGCAGCTGCGGAAGGACCTTCATCCTGAAGTGCTCTCCAAGTTCCAGGAGAAAGAGTCTTCGAGGCAATTGGCACAGCAAGGATAAGGGCTCCAAGATGGGATGATTTTGGTGTGTTTGAATAAAAAGAAAAAAGGAGTGGCTGGATTGTAACATAGTAGAAAGAGGGATCAGAGACAGGCAGAAAATCCAATCATATAAGGCAGTATCACTGAGTCTGAAAGGTAGTAAGAAAACAGGACGAGTTAGAGTATACAACTCTTTCAACAATGATCCATGTGATTCCTAGGACAGGAGTCCTTTGAGTATCCTTCAACTATGGAATTAGCTGATGAAAAGTGCGCAGTGAGACACAAGCTAATCAATAAATTATATTCCAGTATTACCTTTAAGCTGCTACATAATTCTATGTATAGATGGCAGAATGACACATCTATACACCAGATGCATTAAACCTCATTTATTTAAATCAGGTAGAAAGGAAGAATTATCTGAATTAGTAATAGTTTTTGAAAAGACAGTTTATTTTTTAAAATGCATATTTAATTGAGAGGAAGGGAGAGAGAGAGAGATGAAAACATCAATGATAAGAAGGGAATCATTGATCAACTGCCTCCTGTCCCACATTAGGGATCAAGCCCACAACCACAGCATGTGCCCTGACCAGGAATCGAATTGTGATCTCCTGATACATAAGTTTACGCTCAACCACTGAGTAAGACTGGCTAGACAAGACAGTTTATTTTTATAGCTTTTAACTCCAATTAGGCTAAGTATTTAAGTCCTTTTATGTATCAAAACCCATAAAGCTTCTAATAATAGCTACTGTTAATTTAAACACTTTATATATACTTCATTTCATATATAATTTCAGCTTTGTGAAATAAATTATTCCTATAGTACAATTGCAGAAACTGGGACAAAGTTATTAAATGACCTGCCACAAAAGGTTACAACCAATAAGTGGCAAGACTGCCATTAAAACTCAAGTCCCACTCCTAACAATTTTAAAAGCATAGACCTCTCCAGATTTTAATGCAATATTCCTATAATAATCTTTTTTTTTTCCCCCCTGAAGCAGGGTTTGGCAAACTTCTCTGTAAAGGGCCAGAGAGTAAATGTTTTAGGCTTTGTGAGCCACATGATCTGCTGAAGCTACTTAATTCTGCTATCATAGCATAAAAGCAGTCCCATATACAATACACAAATAAGTATGGCTGCATTCAAATAAAACTGTACTTACAAAATAAGCAACATGCTGTAGTTTGCTGATTTCTGATATACAGGATTAATTCTACTTCTCAATTCTGACTTAGCCGGGAACAATTTAATGAGATTTCACAATATGACAAAAAAAGCAGACTTACTTTTTTTGAACTACCTTCCACAGAGATGGGTTTCAAAAGGTTGTTCACAATCATGGAGTAATTCTTCCCATTTAGATTCTTTACCAAAAGATCAAATGACCTACAACATAATAACACACACACTATCTTTCTGGTTCTATGAACGGTGCTGTTAAGCAAAATTTTAGATACTGTTTAAAAAAAAAAAAAAAGAGGCCATAACTAAGTAATCGCTGACTGAAAGCTCACTGTCTTCCCCATAATGGGAACTCACCTCTCTGTGAAGTGCACCTGCACATTCTCCATGGGGACTTGCTGGACTCCAGTTAAGGTAATATAGATTTTCACAAACTTATCTGACTGATCCCATCCTAGTAACAAAAATAACAAAAAAAGACTTGAGTTAAGTCTGACACTATCTTTAAAACAGTAAGTGCATATGGCTTATAATAAAACAAAGTAAAATGGAAATCTAGTATTAGAAACATGAAAAAATTATAAATATTTTTCTAGATCGAGAAGAGCTTCAAAGCAGTTAAGTATCTACCCAAAATTAGGCATTTAGCCAGTGGTAGAATTTGAATTCAAATCCATGTTTATTGAACACAAAACCTGTTTTTGTGTGTTTTTTTTATTACTCAAAATAAAGTATCCTCATTAGAGGATACTTTTCCATTGATTTTTAGAGTGAAAGAGAGAGGAAAATACAGAAAGAAATATTGATGTGAGAGAAACACAACGATTGGCTGCCTCTTGCACGAGCCCTGACCAGGGCCAGGCTAAGGAGGAGCTTGCAACCAAGGTACGTGCCCTTGATCAGAATTGAACCTGGGACCCTTCAGTTCGCAGGCCGACAGCTCTATCCACTGAGCAAAACAGGCTAGGGACTTAAGTATATTATTTAATAATAGTTAAATATTAGTATTCTCCACTAAGCTGGATTACCAAACATCAGTACTAATTCCATAATCATTTCTACTTATCTAAGCAGTTCAACACACACAACCAATCATAGCTTCCTCAATTCCCTTCTCTGACAAAGTAAAATAGAGTCTGATTCACCCAAATCTGCTAATTTGACTAACCTAACATTTACTAAATGCCATTTCAGTATACACTGTCAAACTTCTGGCTTTATAATCTAGATGATTTGTCAACACAAAAAATATACAAACATCACATAAAAGCATATTAAGTAAGTTTATTGTATACAATATATAATATATATGTATCCCTCACACTTCCTCAGTTTGTCTTATAGAATGAAATATAGTGTCAATTTTAAAAAAGAAAAAAAGCCCTACAGAGTCCTATAGAACTTCACATAATCTCTTATCATTCATTCAATCCATCCTTCACATTAAGTTTCTCCCTAAACACAAATCTAGGTTCTTCCTTAATGTGCCATAATCCTACCACCTTTAGACCATTTTCCTATATCAATCAACTAAATACATAGCACAATTCCTATAGTACATCTCTTAAACACGACACATTGTTTTTCACTAAGACAATACTCAAAATACATGGTTTGAGCCTGGTCAATGTGGCTCAGTGGTTGTCTGCCTATGAACCAAGAAGTCATGGTTTGATTCTTGGTCAGGGCACATGCTTGAGTTGTAGTCTCGATACCCACTGTGGGGCCTAACTGCCCTCCCCTCCTGGCCTGATTGCCTCTAACTGCCTCTGCCTCAGCCCCGCCACAATGGCTTTGTCCGGTAGGGACATCCGGAAGGTCTCCCCATCTAGCTAGCATATTACTCTTTTATTAGTATGGATAAGAAAGGAATAAAGGGAAGGCCAGACATTATTAGCATGGTCATTTGGAGGAAGCTGCACTTTCACATTCCCCAGCGAACTACTGGCCCATTCCATGCAAAACACTGGAAGAAGGGGTCTATCAAAGGGAAAAGGTGCAGAAAAGTTGGGGGTGAATTTGGGAAGGTACTTGCCTGCTGATCTAACCTGGGAACCATGGATTGGCTATAGGGGGCAGGACCTATGCAAGGTCATGAAAATTTGGGAAAGCATAATCCCCCAAAGGAGCTTGTCCCCACGCAAAGGAGCTTGCTCTCTTGGTGCTCTTGGCTCATTGGGCTCTCTCGCATGCCCATGTTCCCTCCATAGCCACATGGCCCTGCAGACCCCACACACAATAGACTGATGGACTGCAACTGGAAACACAAGCCAACCGAGCTCAATGGGACTGGACACTGCTCCAACATGAAACGAAAACTCTAGGCAACAGATTTGATCCAAATTCTGCTGAAGCCACAGTTAAACTGCTATGGCAGGACAAAGAGAAATGGGACCTTGGAAACTCAGGGGCATATAATTCCACAGAAATAAAGCTTTCTACAGTCTCTTACCCTACAGTGCGAGTATCAGAAAATTCTTTTTCTCAGGACATTGCACGCCTACTCCCACCAACAACCCACCAAAAACATGTCCACAAGTCCAAGCACAACAATGGCACATAAGTGCTCAAAAATGTTTCTTAAATTAACTAGATTTCTTAACCCAATTAATATTGGTGGTTGTTTGTCAAAATGAAATGCAAAACAGGATGAAAATCAAAACAAAAAGCTTTGTCCCATATATACGCAGTAGGTTCTTTCTTGTTGATATTCATCATTGTACTAAATCAGCTTGCTCTGGTAATAGCTTCTAAAATGTATCCTTATCCTATCCTTTCTCATCTTTTAAAAAGCATCTTATTAAATAAGTGATGTATTCAAACCACTAAAACACTCAAAACTATTTTTAAAATTAAGTTTGTTATGCTAGTTGGTCACTACTGAGGATCAGCTGCTCACAGGCGAGAAGAGCAGGAGGTAGGAGAGCACGTCATACCATAATTGCTGACTTTCACTGTATACCCCGTTGTAATGGGAGCAACCACTGCAGCTGGTTTTTCATTGTCAAGAAGTTCTGCTTTCCTCGGTGACTTCTGCTGCGTCTTGTTCTTGACTTCGGTCTCAATTTTGGATTTTTCTGCTGTGAGAGCATCACGTACTCTCTTTCTAGTGGCCTTTTCTAGCAGCACCTTCACCTCTTCAAGATCTTTCTGTAGCTGTGTTAAAGTAAAAGATAAGTTAGCTATGATAAGATAAAAGCTTGATCTTATGCCTATTGGTCATTTCAGTTTACTGAAATAAGAACTAAGAATTAAGAAGGTTCATTTAAATTTTCTCAGGTTGGGTAGTAACTTGAATTCTTTCCTCCAGCCTATTTTAAATAAAAAATGAAAACTTAACAGTCTTGTTAAAACAATAGAAAAATCAAGCCTAAATTTTCCAGTGTAGTAGACTGTTATCTGCCTTTGTTGAACATTTTCTTAAAATATATTTTTATTGATTTCAGAGAGGAAGAGAGACAGAAACATCAATGATGAGAAAGATTCATTAATCAGCTGCCTCCTGCACACCCCACACTGGAGATAGAGCCCACAACCCAGGCATGTGCCCTTGACTGGAACCGAACGCCTATGCTCCATTCCCTGACCAAATAGGGTAGGGTTGCTGTAGAACATTATATTTACAAGATAGTTCTGTGATTTAAATTAAGATGAAGAAATCATTTTTTTTTTTTTTTTTTTTTTTTTTTTTTAAGAAAAGGCGTTCATAGATTCCCTTATAACATGCAGTCCTAGTCATCAGGAATTTTAGTTTGGAATTTTAAAAATAGAGTAAAAGGATGAGGGAATACATGATGTGTGGTGAAATATTCCAGTAACTTCACTGAGGTCATCTAACTCTATCAGATATATAACTCTATCATTGATATTCCTTCACCAAGTACCTAAATATTACACATTAAAAAGTTTGAAAAGAAAATGTATCTCTGCTTTTAAGAAGTCTTGTTCTGAAGCTCCAGGCTTATACTTATGATTGAAAGTCTGGGACTTGGTTGTACAATAGAGAGAAAAAGCCTGAGCAAACAATCCAACACACTCCTGATCATTATAAAAGCCACCTGCTGTTCTTTCCTCATGCCAGTACCTCACCTACTGAAGTCTACTTTCTAGAGGTAGAGCCAAAAGTTTAAATTTGAGAGTTAAGACACTGTTAGAAAATTAATAGGCTTAAAGAGATATTTTCCCAGTTATCCTCTGACACATTACAAATAAGCATTTTCTTTTTCTTTTCATATATATATATATATATATATATATATATATATATATATATATAATTTTTTATTGATTTTTTACAGAGAGGAAAGGAGAGGGATAGAGAGTTAGAAACATCGATGAGAGAGAAACATTGACCAGCTTCCTCTCGAACACCCCCCACTGGGGATGTGCCCATGACCAAGGTACATGCCCTGACAGGAATCAAACCTGGAACCCTTCAGTCTGCAGACCGATGCTCCATCCACTGAGCCAAACCGATTTTGGCTGGAAATTCTTTTCTTAAAACAATTTTACATTCTGGCTGATACTAGCAATATGATAAGAGGATACTTACATTTATATTCTGAGAACATACAAAAAGCTCAATATAAACATCTTTAAATAACTCAATATAATATCTGAAGTAGAGTTTAGGAGTCCTAATGTTTCTCAAGTCTTATAAAAATGCAGTGACAGAAAAATGCTTTCTTTTATCCAATTCTTTTATTATCTCATTTAACTCAAATGCCCTTGCTTCACCATCTGTAACTGATAAGTATAAAAAGTCCAACTGTGCCATCTCCAGGCTCACGACCCCAAAACTCCTATTACTAAGACAAAAAACTGCAAGCTTATCTTGGGAGCATAAGACCAAGATGTTTTAGTTCAAAGCAAAGCAATCATTTTTTTTATTATAATGGTTTTAATTTTTCATATGAATCTAATACCAATGTTATAAAAATGTTGAAATTAAAATTAGTTTATGTCCCTAGAGTAAGAATTTAGTTTTAAAAATGTACCAAACAAGAAGTTTTATTTCTTGATAGGAATCCTTTTTTGAGCAGACCCTGAAAAGATCTCAGAGAATTAACGGATTTCCAGGCCTTTTATAGCCAGTTTTGGCTCAAGCACTACAAACTACAAACATAAGGTATATCCACTATAAATCTGAAACAACTTCAAGCAAGTGTTTACAGTATTCCTCAATTGCTCTGTTCCCTGCAGTCCTGAAACGAGTAAAAGCCTTTCCTGCACACCTACTATAAGGTGCCCTAGATGGAGTAGCTTCTCATCTAATCTACCTTGGCATTCACTTGTTTTCCTTATACAAAAATCACATATCCCTTTTATACCCAGCCATAAACACATTTAAATTTACCTTCTAATCTAGTTCCAAATTCTACACTATAAGGCATTAAAATCAAAGTGCCTCAAACTGGGGAAAGGACTGAAAAGACATTTTTCAAAAAATATACAAATGGCATAACCACTAAGCACATGAGAAGATGCTCAGCTTCATTCATTAGGCATTAAGGAAATGCACATCAGAACCACAATGAAATACCACTTCATACCCACCAAGATGGCTAATGTCAACAACAAAAACACCCGGGGAAATAAGGGAATCTTCAGACACTGCTTGTGGGAATGTAAAATGGTACAGCCACTTTGAGAAGGAGTTCTGCAATTTCTCAGAGTTACCCTGTTTCCCCCAAAATAAGACAGTGTCTTATATTAATTTTTTCTCCCAAAGTCCACATAAAAAGTAGTTCACAAGTATTCATAGCAGCGTTGTTCCTAACAATCAAAAAGTAAGAATAAATCAAATGTCCATCAATTGATTAACTGATAAACAAAATGTCATAAAAGGGAATACAAGCTCCACCATGGATGAACTTGCAAACATTTTGCTAAGTGAAAAAGAACCAAAAGGCAAAAGGCCACATGCTATAAGCTTCTATTTATACGAAATGCCCAGAACAGGCAAATCCATAAAGACAGAACTAACTGGATTGGTGGTTGCTGGCGGAGGAAGAATGGGGAGTGACTTTTTAATGGACCCCTAGGTTTCTTTGGGGTGTGATGAAAATGTCCTGGAATTGGCAGTGATGGTTTCACAACACTGTGAATATACTAAAATAAACTGATTTGTATGCTTTAAGTTGGTTAAAAACAGTGCATTTTATCTCAGACAAAACACCCTCCCCCAAACATCCCTGAATGTTTAAGTATCTCAACTGAGAAAGCCCTGGCAGGGTCCTGGCAGGGTAGCTCAGTTGGAGCATCGGGCGGATGTGCCAAGGTTTCAAGTTCCATCCGGGGTCAGGGCACACATAAGAATCAACCAATGAATGCATAAATAAGTGGAACAAACTGATGTTTCTCTCTCCCTCCCTAAAAATCAATCAATTTATTTTATTATTATTTTTTAAGAGCCCTGGCCAGGTAGCTTAGTTGATTAGAGCATCATCCTGATAGCCAAGGTTTCCATTTAGATCCCGGGTCAGGGCACATACAGGTGTCAACCAATGAATGCATAAGTCAGTTTAATAACAAATTGGCTGTTTCTTCCCCCCTTCCTTCCCCCCCAAAAAAAGCAAGGCCCTTACTTCGAAGAGGATGAATCCTTATGTTATGACTGTAAAGGCACTTCATTATTTCCTCAGGGCACACAGTACCCCAAGTTCTATCTTTCACCCATAACGTAAACTTGTGGCAAGTTATCCAGAATACTACTTAAACACACACACACTTTTTCTTCATTTAAACCAGAGTATGACACTTAAAAAAAAAAAAAGAAAGTCATCTGAGATTCCCCAGACCTGTTCCTATTGAGGAAAAGATTTCCAGGAAACCAGACACCCAGCACTTCACTGCGATTCTGACTGACATTCTCATCAGGCCAGGAAAAGAGCAACCCAAATATTGCCGGTCCCAGCTGGTCATTGCCAAACTCAGTCTCCAAAGGAGTGAGGCCGCCTCGGTGCAGAGTTTACAGAACGGAGGCGAGAACGGGGCTGGTCCCCGCTAGGAGCGACAACTCCCTTCCCACACAGCCGACGGCCATCCGCCAAGCACCGTGTAAACAGAACTATTCCTCGGTCCCCAAAACCCTCTGACAGGAGTACTAACTGCTATGGCTCAGGAGAAAGCACCACAGCGTGCGCCCCCAAAACTGTGGAGAACACACGCCTGAGGATCGGCGGGCTGGGACCAGACTCCCCCGCCCGCCCCCTCCCACGCCGGAGTGACACTCGGTGTCCGAGATCGGCCCTCATGGAAGGAAGCGTCACGTCCCCGGGCTACAACCGCGGGCGCCGAACGGGCCCGGGGCAGACAGGAAGGGGACCAGCCTCCCGTTCCACCGCCCGCCCTACCGGAGGCCGAGAAGCCCACACACGCCGCTCGCCCGCCCCGCGCGCGGGGACAGACCCGGCCCGGCCCTCGGCCACTTCCCCGCAGGGGCAGCGCGGCGCCAGGGGCCGCTGCAGGGAGGAGGCCGGGGGAGCGCGGGGACCCGGCGGCGCAGGAAGCTGCCAGGGGGGCGGACGCAGGGCAGTCAGTCAGCACGGGAAACAGCGGTTGGGGGCGAGCGACCGCGCGACCGGGCGACTGAGGAAGATGAGGCAGGAGGGACCCTTACCTCCTCCACAGCTGAAGCCATGGTCGGGCTGGGTGGGCAAGGCACGAGCTTGCAGCCCCGCGGGGGAAAGAACAGGAAACGCCGCACCCACGCGACTCGCAGCGCCCGCAGCCCTACGGCGACCCGGACTGACCCTGCACCACACCGCGGCCCGCCTACCGCACGCGACGCCTCTGGAACCTTCGCGAGTCTGGCGTCACAGCCCCCGGCGCCGCCCTCCTCCCTCAGCCCCGCCCCGCCGAACCTGGCTCCGCCCCCCTCGCCGGCCGAGCCTCCAAGCGACGCTCAACTCTCGCGCGAGAAGTATAACGCCACTTCCTCTCCGCGAGGACTACTGTACGCTAGTACGTAAGCCTTGTTTTTCCACGGCTGCGCAGTCGCAACTCGGAACCTTACCCCAACCCGGAAGGAATATATCAGTGTGAGAGATCCAAGTCGGAAGTTGACTAGAGAGGCGGCTGCTTCCGTCTCCTCTAGGACAACGGAGAAACTAGGCAGCCATCTTGTGTGAGGCTAACCTGGGAACCTCCGCGAGAAGTGGACACACAAAAGGGAAAAAGGGCAGCCTATTTATGTTGTTAAAACGGGAGAGAACGAGGAGTTAACTGTGGAGGACCCTGAAGAGAACAGTTATTTTCAATGGGTTCTGGAGTCAGCGCCATGGTTGCGTCACCAGGGACCAAGTGGGGTTTTGTTGGGCACGTGACGGCGCCGCCAGGATTCAGACTACTAATTAATTCAAAGCGCCACCCTCTATGGCCTTAAGTGCGCTCTCCGCTTTCCCTGTGGTTGGTGGAAGCGCTTCCAGGTGCCCGCGCCCCCTCGCCCCCGCCGCTGACCATTCTGCAAATCGCCAGTTCTCACCCGGGTGTGGATTCTGGGACTATTCCGCTCTGCTGGCTCCCGCCTCAATAAAAGCCCCTAAGAAACCAGCCTCTGTCAGCCTCACACATCTGCAGCACATTGAGAGCATAGCCACTAAGCACTGGGAAGTCCGATAGACCTCAGTCACTCAGCTTTACGTATCTCCCGAGGTAGTGATTAGAACCAGCAAGTCAAAGAAAAACAAGCTTTTAGTAAGATGCAGGTTGATCCTTATCCTAGCAAACAAACGGGAGTACAATTCAAAAGCAAATGCATGAATTTCACAAAAGTGAAATGAAGTCTAAAAACAAAACTAGCCTAAGGTGTTATTTTAAAAAAATCAGGATAGTCTTACATGCATAACCCATGGACAATGACAACAAATAGTGTGGTGAAGGGCTGGGGTGGGGCAGGGGCAGGGTGGAGGGGGAAAAAGGAGGGGGTGAGGAACATCTGTGATACTGTAAACAGTCTCTTGTCCCAATGCCTCTTCAGGCCCCATTTGGCCTTTGGTATGTATAATACAATAAAATAAGTCCCTATTTCCTTTTAATTGTCTTATTATTAAGCTAGCTTAAGAGTTTCTGTTACTTGCAATCAAGGAATCTCTAGGGAGAAGAAAATAGGGCCCTTGGCAGTTCTGCTGTACAGGACATCCTGCAGGTAGAGCCTGGAATAAGCTCCTGTGTATTTTTTCTTTCTGACTGGAATCCTTTGTCAAATAAGAAGTGCTACATAAACACTGAGTTCCGATATTTCAGAATAAAACCAACTAGAAGAAAACAGAAAAGACAGTTATGGACTTGGGAACAAATGTTTATTACTGCTTAATGGGGCCAAAGGGGCAACACAAAGCATTGAAAACATCACTGGCTCACAAAAACAGTCACCTGTGTTACCTTCTGGGTTGCATTTGTTTATTTCACAAGGCTCCATTCACACATGAAAACAAGCTACTAGTCCAATTCAAGTTCATAACGATTATAAAAGTAAACATTTTGGGGACAATGTACAATAAATTGCACTTTTCTTAACAAGCATTACATTTACATTTATGGAGTGTACTATGCATAATACATGGAATTATGGAAACATCTAATTGGTCAGTGTTTATAGGAGAGGCTGCTCACTAATATTTCTTTTGTGGTCAATTAGCACTGTCAGGACCAATGGACTCCTTTATCCCAGAACCTGTTTTCATTAGAGAAACCACGGACAAAAACTATGCTATTCCTGAAAATAGATGTTACATAATTTCTACTACCTCCTCAACAAGGGAAAAGTAGGAGTTGAAAGAAAGGAAGTGGGGCTGACTGAGAAACTCTTTTCTTTCATTTGAATTAAGGTTCCATATATTATGCAAAATACCAAAAATAGAGAAACGGATGTAAAAGGCTATTGGGACATCTTGGATTCTGAGACCATCTCCAGCTTTATTCTTGTGCTTTCATGATACCAGAATCTTGATGCATTTGTAGCCTTATAATTCAGTTTCCTATATTTTATTCCATATATAATATATACTTATGTTACAATGGAAAATTTTTTACATGTTAACTTACTGCCAATGAAAACAAAAGGAACTTAAAATGTCCATTTTCTACTCAGTGATTCTTTTTTTCTTAAGTGTTTCAGAATACACTGATGGTAAACCAGGGATGGAGGTAGGGAGAATGGGACACGTTGATGAAGATGTTTGTACAGCAGGTAAATTCATTGGAGATAAGCTAGACATGTAGTCTTTTAGATGGAAGTTGAGAAGGGGCCTCCCGACCGCTGACTGGAGTCACTCCCTACTTGTAAACATTCACTTTCTCATTACAACTCAAGACCATCTCCTATTGAGGTGCAGCCCACTGAAGTATTCATTTTGGTAGCTTTTGAAAGACAAGGAATTCCTAAGGTAAAGGGCTTTGCCTTTATTGTACAGAAGCCACTATGAGAGAGGAAGGATGTTTTGGAGCAGTTCTAGTTCAATGTGACCATGAGCCTGGCAACTCCAACTCCAGGGCAAGAGCTTTACACCCGGTAGTTAACAGGCCATTGAGCCGCTACCAGCCCTTCTGTATTCAATTGCTATGTATGTATTCAGATGCATGGTACCTGGGTATACAAGAGTCAGGGACACTCTATAAAATTTCACACACACAAGTCCAACTGTTCAAATCAAACAATAGTTTGTCCATTCTCTCATTTATTTATAACGGAAGCAAGAGAATCAGAGCTTTTGTAAGTTTTGTTTTTAAAAGTTATACAATAGAATCATCTTATTAAGTGTTCTTTTCAAGAGAGATAAAACAAGGTATTTAATTTTTTAAAAAAGCTCTTTTGTCCCTTCAAGGGGTCCTGAAATCAGACACCCACCTTAGCAGAATAGTAGAGTGATTTCAGCTAAAGAAAAATAAAACAGCCCCTTACCTCAGTTACATGTGATTCTCATCTGCAATACCTAATCAACCCTTTTAAGGATTCCTCATCTCTTGTGTATTCTCTTGTTTCACTCACTTTGGCTGGGAAATGAAGCCACTATGGTAGTTATTAACTAGAAAGTAGTTTAAGAAAATAGAGTAGGAGATAGAGAAAAATAAATAATATATAGTATGAAAGAATGAAAACTTTGAATAAATGAACTAAGACAAATATGATTAAATATCCCAACGTCAGTACAAAGACTGCTTTTCTATTTACTATGGAAGTTTAAGAAAGCCAATGAAGAAGAAACTGCCAACTTAATAGCCAGGAGAGGAGAACACAGGTATTGGCTGTATGTTAATATAGGCCTGTATGGTATGCCTATAAGTGTTTCTGAAAGGCTCTCATATACAGAACATTAGGTAACAGAGTGTGTGTGTGTGTGTGTGTGTGTGTGTTACACTTAATTATATGTAACTAAATATAACCAAATTGTGCCATGGTTCAGAATGTGGGTAGCTAGCAAATTATGCACTGCAAAATTCAACCTGGTTTCTTTCGGCTTTAAAATACGTGTTAAATAAGATTTTCAAGATATAAAAGCTATTGAATTGAATAATCAAGTTGAAGTTCATTCCCTTCATTTATTTTGCAGAATTTAATGAAAAGAGAAGTAATCTCTTTTCAGAATGTTGCAAATGTTAGGTTCTGGAGGAATGTTTTAGATAATGTGTTATAGGAAAAGATGAAGAACACACTATAATATCTGAAAATTTCCTGGATATTTAGGCTAGTTAATCTCTTTCTAAAGGAATCAAGGGAAAAAAGCAATTCTCAAATACACTTCAAAATAAGTGAAATTAAAACTAGCAGTGAATCCTAGGATGCATGAGTTTTAAACAGACGGTGAAGGACATGTAGTTTGGGATAATGCTGTTATAACATATTGTTTGAATAAACATATCATATGCCATATTTTGAATTTTCTTTCTATCTTTACTATTGCTTCTGACCCAAAGGCATTGCAGTGAAAAAATTTAAACTTATGGCACCAAAACATACTCAAATATGATATGGAACTGGAAAAGAAAAAAAAAAATCTGTAGATTACCATTATAATCTTTAAAAAGAAAATGCAAAATATTAATTTATTAAACATTTGGAATGTATATACCTGCTAATTTTATTTAAAGAAAAAAAAATGAAATTTGACCAGGTTTACAGAAAAAGACTGGACCTAGAACCATTCTGTTTCTCCCTCAACTACTATTTAAGGAAAATCATGCAATTTAGTCATTCTGTGGAATGTGCCAATTTTTGGAAGATAAAAAAGCTCTGTATAGTAGATCTACAAGATTCACAAAACAGAAAAGAACATCATTAATTTAGTTGGCCATTTGATAAGGCAACTTGTACAAGGCTTCTTGGTATCAAAACATAAAGTATCAATAAAGCTAACAAATTATACTAAATGATTTATAGAAACAAGAACCGATAAGCAATTCTCTAGCCATTATATTTTACAAAAATAAAAATAAAAATAAAAATATTAGGTTTTCTAAACCACCATGTAGGGAATGTTTAAGTCAACATAGACACTGGAATGCTGGCTTATTTTCATTTTTGGAAAAAGGAAATGAATATAATGATGAAAGATGTCAGGACCCAAAAAAGAAATGCTGTAAGAAAGTATTATTTCATGAGTGTAGCAAGCCTATAAACACTGATGAAGGGACTTCACTTTTTAGAGTTTAATGACCATTTTAGAGGGAGGCAAATTGTAGTGTGTGCTCCCGGTCAAGATGACTGGTTACTTGATCTTTATCTCCAGGAGTGTGTTATTTTTAATTGCACCATATGGCACAGATGAGAATCACTCTGGCAATACAGAGGTTAAGATCATTTGCAAAGAATATGTTCAACAAGGAAGCCAAGAATGAGTGTCAGTAAATGTTACTGACAGTAGTTGGGTTGGTGGAAAAGACCAAAAGCTGCCAAAAAAGCTTAGGAAATGGTAAAATTTGCTTGGCCCTTACCAAAGGATTTCCTGTGAAGACTATTGATATATACATGTTAAATATAATAGAAAAAATATTTCCATCAACTTTTAAACAATAGTTTTCTTTACCCTTCCATGAGATAATTATTTCTATAAAGGTTTCATATTCAATCAAAAATGTTACAAATGCATTTGCAGCCTCATCTAGGAGTACCAAGGGCACATTTTTGGGGAGCTATAGAAATAAAAAAAAAAAAACTGCCTAAGATTAAACTAAGATGACCTCCATTTCCCCATTTCATAACTTTGACAAAGTTACAGTATGTTAGTGTTTCCTTAGCAAGCATATGTCAATATTAAATGACATTCTCTGTCCCTGTTTCTGAACACAGTGGCTAAACCTAGATCTTTCTAGGCTTCTCTGGTGAAGGTTTCCTAAGGCTACAATTCACAATGTCCACTTCGAATTGACGTTTGCCAGCACGCACAACTGTGTTCATATTTAGGACCTTGCAATTCCTGTGTGGAGTTCTTAAAAGGACCTGTTAGAACCCCAGGGTCAAAGTGATTTATTTCTTCCTGTGTTTATCGAAATCTCAGGTCCTTTTCTCTAGTGTGACTTCTCAACAGCCTAACTTATCCTATGGTTCTTGGCACTTCCTTTCTAGATGCACCCAACATAAAATGAAATACACTAACTTGCTTTAGGGACTGTTCAATCCCAGGCCTGTCCTTCCCTCCGACAGGGCACTGCTCTCCAGGACATCACTTTCAGGAGGAAGCTGACAGTGGTCCTGACCAGCCCCACAGTGTGCTTTACCTGAATAAATCCTGGAAAGCTAAGAGTTTTGGATTTTAGTTTCTTTTTGTGTGGCAAATACCGTCTTATCACTTCAACCTTGGAATAAAAGACATCTCCATTTTCATGTAAGATAAACAATATGAACAGTTAGTTCTCAATAAAAAAAAAAAAAAAGCATGTATAATAGTTCTGAATTACTGATTTCCAACTAAATAGCAGGCATGTAAAACAGTGGGTAATACTAAGATGGATCTGAACATGGCCTTCCAAGAAGAAGCTTGAAAACAGGTATTCAACATAAACCAGGTCAGTTTCAATAATATCCCTTTGAAAGTGGCAAACAAGAAAGAGTGAGAGCCACTGACAGAGCGGGCTTGCTTCCTGGCCTCCTTTACTTTCTTTCTTCAAAGGGGCCCCTGGGAGAGTCCTCAGGGTCTCCGTCGCTTTGATCGTTGTGCTCTTGTGCTGGGCTGAGGCGGGAACTATGTGCTCTCTTTGGGCGGCTGGGTGCTCTGTGGCGGCGGCAGCGGCTGGGTGCCCGTGGCCGTTTTGATAGAGTTCAGGGTTTTGCTAAACCAAGAGTTTTTCGCAGCTTGGATTTCATTCATGAGGGCCCCTCTCTGATGTTCAAGTTCCTAATTAAAATAGAAACAAAATAATCTGAATATTATAAATGTTTTCTCTCTGCCTAAAAATCCAGTAGAGCTTCTTGGCATCCCCAGGACTATACAGTCATAGTTTCCCTCTCAGAAAACCCAGGAGAAATTTAACTGGCTTCTTGATGCAAGAAATAAATAATAAATAAGTAAATAAAAGTTTGCAGCTAAAAGAGGTACCACTAAAAACCAGAATCTGTGCCTTCTCTGAACAGTTAAATGAAACCTCATATTATCTTTTTATTCACCCTGCAAGTTAGGTTACAACCTGATATACCTGTTTCAAACCACAGATAAACATAAAGATATGGATGGGTTGAATTTTTACTGACAGAGTAAGCTGAGTGAGTTCTAGTTCCAAACACATGACCTTTGCCCTGAGAACATACAAGGTCAGGCAGAGACAGCTAAGCACACCAGGGTGTGTGGGTTGGAGCGACGGCAGGACATGGTGGGTACGATTCACTGTTAAAGAGGAAATGGGGAATGGGGGACAGTTCATGAGAAGCCAGGACTACTTTCTAATTATATTATCCTTCGATATGGAAAGAGATTATAGAGAAAGAAATTTGGCCAAATCAGGTAAAGATGAAAAGAAGTTTTAAAAAGGAGGGTAGGGAGTGTCAAAAAATGTTCAACTATCAAGGGAAGAATAAACAGAGATTTGGCCTTTCATTTTCCAAAGTGACCAAGTTCAATGAGAATGGACCTTGGCAAAAAAAATTGCAGGGGAAACTAAAAAAGTGTTTAAAAAACACACAGAGTTAAATGAATATTAATAATTAAAATTATATCTTGTGAGATCTTATCGAGTCACCAACCTGGATTTTACACTTGGCCTCCACCAGCTGCAGTTTGGTTTGTGCCAATTCCAGCTCCATCTCCCTCAGTTGCTTCTTAAGTGAGTCCTTCTCATCATCTGATTCAATCCCCTGGTCCTCTCTGCTTATGGCTGCTGGCTTCAGAGCGCCCTCCTTGCTGAAAATGTCACTGCAGTGCTTACAGGCCATCATTTTACCCTGAAATATCCAAAGGAGATAACCAATATCAAGCTGTATTCCATAGCGTAAATCACTTCCTGAAACAATATGCGGCTTGATTTTTATTTAGATGCTGTTTGTTGCCATCAAATGCAGGCCTATTTCTGAAGGTTGTTATTTCCCTTATGCTACAACCAACATGGTTCCAGTCAGCACAAAACCCAACTCTCCAAGACAGATGCCCCTTTTCCTCATAGTATTTCTAGAGAGACTGGGGCTAGACAGTATTGCAGCCCCTCTTTGACATCCATTGTGGAAATGTTGTACTACCATTACTCTTACTAGATGCCGAGCCCCATCCATTATGCTCTGCATGCAGTATCTCATTTCATCCTAGGGCTACTGTATGATTAGGTACCATTTTCACCCCCTTTTTATAAATGAAGAAACTCAGCATGTAAGTAACTTGCTTAGAGTAGACTGAAGTTATTATGACTAACCTAAATCTACCCTTGCAACAAATAAAGTATAAGTCCTTTTGTTCAGCATTAAGCAAAGATGATCACTACTGTTCAAGGTAATCAAAGTAACTCTGACCTGGACTGCCAATGACAACATAACCACCACCAGACAACAGCAACTCTCTTTGAGAAAAGAGTGCTATTTGCTTAAAATATTTCCAAAAATAGTTCAGAGAGAAAAGATATCACATAATCTTTCTATTTCAATGTCTTACTGTTATAGCAAGCTCAATGTCCATATCCCTAACTACCCCCTCTTTGCACACACACAGCAGCCCCCCCCCCTTTGTGTCATTGTGCGCATTGCCACCACTGAGGCCTGAAGATTTGGGTGCCTTTTCATTAGCTTCCCCTTCATTCCATTTCCAGCTGCTCATTAAATTTTTCCTCTGACATGACCGAACTCTCCCTCTATCCCGGGCCTGAATCCCTAAAATCATCTTCTCAGCCTCACTGGTTTCTTTCTTACCCCATCCACACTGTGTTCTTTCAATTCCTGCCTGACTAACGTTCATTAGAGACTTAAAAGGTATCTCATAGCTCTCCTAAGAACCCTGTGCTGGCTCAGACAGGCACACAGCAAGTGTTTGGTATATGTTTATTGTTGATTAAATATGTGTTGATTAAGTAAAATGTTAAAGTTGGTGGCTTTGATCTGGGTTTTAAATGATTAAAAGTTTACCAAGCTGGGTAAGCGGTGTCATTAGGCTGATGAACCTTATAAAGGAAGCGATTAATCTCACAAGAGGGAGGAGGACATTTCAGCAGGAGGAGACTATGTGCAGCCCCAGAGAACTACAGGGAGCGAGACGCTCAAGCAGAGGGGAAGTGATGCACTAGTAAGAGGTACTCAGTGAGACGAGTTCTCCACAGCCACGTTGTGAAAGTCCTGAAACAGAATGCTCATGAATCCTGATTTTATCCTGAAGAAAATTCATGCATTCACTTCACCAAAGCCTGTGCTCCATATTGGAGTAGAGCAATTAGCATCATGGAGCAGACATGCTGATGTGTTGGAGAGACCACAGATTCCCACCTCCTCCCTTAATAACAGAAATCTCATGCCATTTGGGCTGGAAAATGCCCCGTTAAAAGGCGCCATTTTCTAGACTCCCTTGAAATTAGGTGTAGCCATAAGATTAAGTTCTGATATGTATGGCTACTTAAGGAAACTCACCCAACTGGAGGTAGGTCCTTGTATCCTTGCATTTTCTTTGGCCTAAAATTCCATCATGGAATGTAGTGTGATGTTGGAAACTCCAGTTGACAGGTTTGACTTTTAGGTAACCTTGAGAATGGAAGCCCATGTGGAGGATATGGGTCACTGAAGTTTGGACACTGGTGGAACCAGGGATCTTTTTAGTTCTAGACTTCTTTTACAGGAGATAATTAGCATCTTTTTTATTTAAATCAATGTTATGTTGGGTTTTTTATGTGTGGCCTACCTAATTCTAAATGGATACATAGGGTGATATAGTCAAGTTTACATTTGGGATGATCCCTCTGATTACAGTGTAGAGAATTAACTGGAAACAGGATGGTGATAGAGGAATAGTGTTAGGGGATGGTATTACAGAAGGATGAAAAAATCAGAAGCTATTATCATATCATGCCAAATAAGAGCTTAAAAGTAGGACTGGAGAAAGAGGAGATAGTGTGGTATAATGGCTAAGTGTATGCATTGTACTGTTCTCTCTTTTACAAAATAATAAAGTTTAGAGAGGTTAAATAGCTTGCCCAAGTTGTTAAACTATATGCTGAGGTCCCTAGAATTCATAGAAATTACTAGTATTAAACCTGAATATATTCAAATAGAATTACATCAGGTTTCTAGAGTAGTGGTCTCAACATTACTTCTTAAGAATACCAATCCATTTATTTGGTTTACTGTTGTTTCTACAGAATAAGAAACTCCTTTTTTCAAATAATACCACTAGGGGGCAGCATATAAATAAATGCTGCAAGTTTTCTTTAGAAAACAAACCTCTAAAAAATTGGTGTTTGAACCCAACATGTGTTTTCCTGTCAAGTTCTAGATCAACCATGCTGTTTACTGTTCAAGAGAATGATAGGATGAAACTGCAGGGTCATTCACTGAAGCACTGCATCAGTTCCGGCACAGCTGGGATGCAGCTGCTGAGGGTTCCCAGGTTTCCATCTGAGAAAGCTCAGGTCTCCTGTCACGATGCTGACATCCCTTATCTGCCTCTGACAGCCCATAAGACTTATGGGGACATAACTTTCAGTTGAGGGAAGAGAGATACTATTCTCCATGATTCCTAAGTCCTCTACAACACAGAGTGGCGGAGGGTGGGGGCGGGGGGTGGTGATGTGCAGAAGCCATCCTGCCTATGGAACAGCATCACATACTGGGATGGATTCTTTTAGGACTGTCTATCACTGAACTACTCCACTCTCCTCACCTTTACCACCTCCAGCTCCTCCTTGCTGGCTGCTTGCTGTTTCTCCAGTCTGGTGCTCAACTGGGAACAGATCTAAAGGGGGGGGAAAAAAAAAAGAGTCTTCATACTGGACAATAGAATAATTCTTACACCGCGTGCACATAACTTTACCAACTCCTGTGTTATCGCATCTCTGCTGCTGGAAGAAAGTGTGCAGATGTGGTCATTTCTGCAGTGAGCAGCCAAAGGCCTGGGAGTGTCCCTGTGTGGAGCACTATGTTAATTAGTAGAAGGAAACACATGGGGAAGATGTGAGTTCTCTCCGTCTCTAGCCTCATAACTGTTGCAGTGAATTCCTGTCCTGCTTCTGGAATCACTCTATAGAATCTTTGCTGAGCAACTACTTTGTGTAAGATACTATTTATGCTGGGAATTGGATGAAAAGCAGTTTGAACCAGAAATGTCTCCTATCTACAGCTATGAAAAGAGTCTCTGTTTTCAATGACAAAAATTTCCTTAAGAAATGGCAGAGTGAATAAAATTTTTTAAAAAGATTAAATGACCAGAAAATAAAAAGACTAAAACTCTCATCAAATGGTTTGGCAACACAGCATAAAACGTAAAGCCTGAGCGTCCAGTTCTACTACCTTCTAGTATTATGTCCTTGGGAAATTCATAAGCTCTCAAAGCTTTAGTTTTCTCCTGGCCAGAAAGTGTTGCGCTGTGAAAATCAGTGGAAAATATGTACTCAAAGAGTTTAGTATACACCTGGCTGATAAGTGCTCATTAAATAAAATCTCATTGTTACTGATTCTGAAATAAGGTACTAACAAGTACTACAACAGGTAGAAATAAATGCTTTAAAGCAAAAAAGAAAAATTGCTTTAAAAAAATACTGAAAGTTCGACTCTTATTGAACTTGAGTGAAATTTGAATCTTTAATTTTTTGAGTAATGAAATAAAAGAGGGGATGTCAAATTTTCAAGTGCAATTTGGACTGGCAACATAAAAGGTCTACCTCTGTTATCAAAACAGGCACTAAAAAGAAACCCCATTTTACTCAAAAACAGTCCCTAGAGGCCAAGGCCTGCTTGTGAAGTCCAGTCTTGAATTCTCCAGGTCCACGCCTGGAGATAACAAATAAGTCTGCATTAGCCAACATTAAAGAGAAACGATGACCCTAGTAATTTTAAGCCACATACCCTTTTAAATAAACCAAAACATTCTGAAATATAGCCAATGATAACCAATTCCAACTATAGAATGCATTTGATCATGTTTTATGTCCTAATTATCTTCAAACAGATGGGCCTGTTGCCTTTAACATGACTTGAAGTGCTTGCCAGATAATATTCAAGAACAGTCCCAAGGACTGCTATTTGCAGAGTGCGGCATATGGCCTAACGTGGTGACAAAAACTGCATCTGCAGCGATGGCGGGTTCCACAGCACATGCCTGTAATGTTCCTTGTACTGGTTAATGTCTAACCATGCCCTCTCCCACTTACCCACATTCAAAATCTTATGATCACTTTCAATGTTTCCCCTCGTTTTAGCAAAACATGGCTATCTTTTTGTGGTTCCCTCTCCTCCACTTTTGTCGCTACTGATTTTAGTCAGGGTTCCATTTTTTTCTCACCTGGGCGCCATGCTTTGCCTCTTACTGGTCTGTGTCTCTCCTGTGGATCCCTACTTGGTTCCACATTTCTCACTGGGACACAGTAGTGCCGAGAATAAGTCCCGGATCATGTCACTTTCCTGCTCAGGTGTTCCTACTACAAATAATCAAGTCCAAACACCTCAGCTATCCCTGAAGATCTTCCTTAAACTGGGTCCCCACTCGCCTATACTTTCCTTCGTATTTTATATTCTACCTCCGTGCCTTTGCACAGGACGTTGCCCCATGGCCATCCTCCGCCCTCCCTCTCCACACACCCACATCTCACCTAGCTGCTGAAGCACAGCTCACATCAGCCTTTCTCCAGGGAGGCTCCCCCTTCCCATATGCAATAAATTCCCCTTCCTCCTATTCATACACAGATATTGTCTCTCTTTACAAGGCCACATAGCCAAGTGGGAAAATGAGTTCCCACATTCTATACTGTGACAGCAAAGGACACACTGATCCCCTAGCTACTGCCATTTGATACAATCACTAAACTTTAGTCCTTGGCAAAGAGGCAAATGTCACTAGTGTGTTCTATAGGAAATTAGCTTCTGAGTAGGGCAGAGACAGGATCCCCATGGTAATAATAAGGTTTCTTGTTCCTCTAAAATCTATCAAATATTGTGAACAAACAACAGATTGTTTTTGCTCAAATAAACCTCTATGTTATCAGCAAGCGTGTCTAACCACTGCCAGTTTCAGAGGAGAAAATAAGCCAACAAATTTAATGAATGCAGTGCAGTCATTGTTCTGGAAACTCTAAAAACAAAATATATTTCCCTGAAGAACAACAACAATTGCTTTCATAGCGACAAAAACCACGGCGGTACATTACCTGTTTGTACTCGGCAATGATAGCCGTAGTCTTCTTTATTTCATATTCTGCCTTCTCTAGTTGTTTCCTGAAGACTTCTTTTAGCTAGAAAGAGTGAAAATGAAAAACATCAAGACTCAGTCACAATCTTTAAATAATTCCCACAAACATCTAGATTCAGGTCTGCCTGAACCAGAGCCAATGGCAAGATAAACACTATAACTATATAAATTTTCCTCGATGAAGCTGTATCTTGATCATTTGAAAATCCTCATCACCTCATGAGATACAGAAATCTTTCTTTCCTGTAATGTATAAGACACAGGAGCAATCCGATTATAAAACTGCTTATGAAGAACAACAACAATTGCTTTCATAGCGACAAAAACCACACTTACTTTACTTACTTTATAAATCTATTGTTACTTGTCGATTCAGAAGCTACATTTATCCTTATGAGAGACTAAAACAAAACCTAAGGGCACATTGCCTGTACCCTGGATACTATATGATCAATTACTGAAAAAACAGTTTAAGCCTTCCTCTTCATATCCCCAACCGTCACTGCCGTCCGCTCTCTGAAGGCAAGAACAAGGGGCTCTGGGAGTGGAGTCAGAAAAAGATGGAGAAAGATGACAGCTCTGGAGGCCAGGAGATTCAGGGACTAAAGAAACAGTGACTTCAGAAGGAGCTAAAGTGATGGATAAAGGAGGTGCTTGTTACAATCAAAGAAATACTAAATTATGAATGCTAAACTTAAAACCAGCTATTTTTTACTCCAGCAGCTCTAGAATTCTGAGTATGGGGAAGGTGAAGATAATAAAAAGGCTCAGGTGCCACCAGATGGAGGGGGAAGAAATCAGGACTTCCAAGTTGTTGACTAAACAAGCAAGCAAAAGCTTTGGGATGCTGTGATGCAGAATTCATTTATTTATTCTGATCATGTATTTAATAATTAATCTGTACATGAAATTCATTAGTGTAATTTATAATTGGGCTCATATCATTAGGAAATTTCTGAATTTCTTCATATTTGCTACATTCTAAAATTCTAAAAGCATTTTGTAGGTTATTCTGATTCAAACTTGATTATTAAATTATTCTCTATTTTACATAATGTAAGGACATATGCCATTGCCTTTCCCCCTCTTATCACAGGGCCCATGGACCTCAGGACAGACTTGAATGGCTGTGAGGTTTTGACACTTAATTCTCTGAGCCACAGTTTCCATTAACAAATCTCATGAGGGTACAATAATGATTAAAACGGGGAAGAAGCATAGATAAAGTTCACTTGCCAATAGCTTCACCTTTACCTGAGGTACTAAAGTGAGCCCCCAAAAGGAAGGAAAAACAATACCCATCAAAAGGCCTATATCAAACTGGATAATCAGGCCCTAAAATTTCTCAAGTACATTAAAAAAAAAAATGTCCAAAATAGGCCAAAGTCATTTTTTCATTTCCCAAAATAATAATAAATGAATGCAATAAAAATCACCGAACACTTTTTATAAACCTTAAAAGGTGCTAAATGATACAATCCTTCACTAGTATGACTTCCCTGGAACTTCCTCTGCTTGGATGTAGGTCTTTGCAAGGCTTTGTATCCTACTTGATATTTAGTATTTTTGATGTCACAGAACAAAAGATTAGAATGAATGAGTTAATCAGCGTGGCTGGACGGAGAGAGGAAAACAGCCTGCTCTTCCAGGGAAGCTGCAAGTGTCCACCCCTGGGGTGGAGAGTGTTGGCGAGTGAGAATTTTTGAGCATGCTTCCAGAGAGGCCGTGGACTATATGCCCCAGCTAGAGTTATCAGGGCTGACACCAGGCCAGGCCTTGAGATACGGTCTCATGGTCCCTTCCCAGCACATAGGCCTTCTTTCAAGGGCAGAGCAGGACTGACTCCGTTTTGTACTGTGTCCTCTCCATCTTGTGTAACTATGTCCCCGACATGACCCCTTTCCGAGAAAAACCACAGAATATGTCATTTACCCAACCCACCCTTAAATCAGCCAATAGAAATGCAGAGGGCAGTAACCCAGTGTAACTGGACCCTGGCCCTCACCCCACCAATTGGAACCAGCCAACTCAGTGATCCAACCATCACCCACCACCCAACCCTAAGCCCTATAAAAAGGCTATACTTTCAGAGCTCAGGGCTCTTTGCATCCTGCCGCTGCGTCAGTAGAGGCGGAGAGACCGGGCTTGAGCTTGAATAAAAGGCTCTTTGCTTTTGCATCAGACTTGGCTCCCTGGTGGTTCTTGGGGATCTTGAAATCTGGGCATAACATTTGGGGGCTCATTCAGGATCCCCAAGACCCACGAGGGGCCCCATCTTGGAGAGCCTGACTGGCCAAGGTAGGTGTCTGTTCTCTGTCTCTTTTGTGTGAGCTCATTTCTGAAATTCTGGTAGTGCCCGGCATGATCTAGGTGGATGCACTGGAGGACCTCAAGCCAGAGGATTCGGAAGACGTTCCGATCCCCCTAGGAGGGATGTGCAATCCCCTCCCAGGATTCTGTGGGCTTTGAGCTTCACAATCCTCATAAATTACTCCAGAGAAGATAATTACCTTGAGATCCCACACGAAATTTGCTGATTTGTCAAAGCTCTTGGATCATAATCCCAAGTACTAAAATTAGAGAAAAGTGAACACGCTGGCTAGACAGCTCAGGAAAGGCAAATTCCTAAAGGTTGCTCGAGGAGAGAAACACTGCCTCCTCTTCTAACACCTGCAAAGGGAATGTCGAGGCTCGATGCCACTCACAGGGACTGCTCCGACATCACCCTTGATTTAGAATAAGATGATTTCTTGTCTGAAGTATGAAGCATCTCTGCATAGCTGGGTAACATACCTGCGTAAAGAAAAGCCCGCCTGCGCCTGTTACCTGAGCCGTCTCTTCCTCCTGCTTCCTCTTCTCTTCCTCGGTCTCCACCAGCCTCTGCTTGGTCAACAGGAGCTCCTTATTCAACACGTCTGCCTTGTCTTCCGCCTGCAAATCAGAGCGTGTCACAGTCATAAAGACAGAGATGGGGAAGGGGGTGTATTTACGTCTCCAACTCTAGCACTTCCTGTTCCAACATCACCACAAGCCATTCTTCTTATTCCTCCGTAACCCTGGGATGGCTGCTTTCCTGAATGCCAATGACATACCAGGCCTTTGGCATGCATTGTCTCTAACCCTCACAACAATGATTATCTTACAGGTAATGGAAGTGAGGTTTGCAGAGATCAAATAACCCGACTGGGGTACACATCTACTATCAGAGCCATGATCCGAATTAAGACTGGACTGGCATCAGAGCCCATGCTCTTTCTAAATGTTCCTTACACATTTCAGATGTCACAACAGCACTCACTCTGGCGCTGTGGAAATGGTTGGATGAAGGGGGTGGAGCCTTTAGGGAGGCTTCTAACCAGGAGTTCCTATGGGTGGGTTCGGAGAAGGTGAGCAAGAGAGAGGCTGGTCCATGGACCAAAAATAGGTGAGAAAATTCAAAAATTGGCTAAGCCCCAACAGGGTATTCACATAGGACAGTGAGTATAGCAGGGAGAAATTAAAACCTAAAACCTAATGATAGAACACTGACCGGGTATCTGTCAGTGAGAGCATCATCCTGAAATGCCAAGGTTGCAAGTTTGATCTCCAGTGAGAGCACATACAAGAATCAACCAGTGAATACACTAATAAATAGAACCAGCAAACCTCTCTCTCTCTCAAAATAAAATCAACTAATCAATAAATAACATCGAGATCCATGAAGAAAAGTGAAGTAATCTAAACAGAAAAGACCATATTTCTAGGATGGCCAAGAAAAGCTCAGAAAAATACTCTGGTCTTAACTCAGAGACAGGGACCAAATTAACCGTTGGTTTCACAAAGTTAAAAATGTGCCTATTTTACACTCTAAGGCTCTTACCCCCATGCCCTCCAACCCCCATCTAAATTAGCTCCTGTTTCTTTATCTCTGCCATACTTCCTTTGACAGCACTTAGCACACACAGTCTGTAATGATAAACTCCATGTGTCATTTACTTGCCTTGCCCACTAGACTTTAAGCTGCGGGAGGCAGGAACCACATTTCTCTGTGCATCACTACAGCCCCGGAAGCAAGCCCAGGACAGGGATAGAGGAGTAAGTATTTGGCGAAGAAGTGAATGTGGCTCTCTGAACATCACTACAGCAGCAGACTGTGTGGAGTGGAGGTGGCAGAGAGCCACAGGACGCGTTCGGCAGAGAAAACCACTGACGCAGAGGATGAAAGCTATTTGAAAAAGCTGTCCCTGGCAGACAGCAGCAAAACGTTATCCAAGTATCTATGAACACTGGCCAGGTGGCCTCCTGCCTGTTTTGCCGAATCTGCCGTGTGTCCAGATGGCCAGGCCAGCACAGTCTGCTGGGTGCTGGCAGGGAAACCACATCCAGCTTCTCTGTTCTCACTGTCTGACGTTCGTCATGACCCGTACCTCAGAGGCCATAGCTCTGTTTACAGATAACTTGAAAGTGTCAGGTACTTAAGTTGGAAAAGTCCATTTTAAGGACACTCATTTTTAGATTTTAGGGGGGAAATTTACATAGGGAGAGCATCTTAAAATTAGAGGTAGACCTCAAAAATGCACTTTTGGAAATGTCTATAATAAAAGAAAAGAAAGCCACTTTCCAGAGGAAATTGTTAATAAATAACTAAATATTTATGATGAGGGACTCCTATTTTTATTTCACATTTTCTGCTGCACATTCTTCACTAGGCCAAGGTAAAGAAGCTCACTGGATTTCTACTGCTTTCAGATCTGACATCTGCAGAAATTTCTGTGGGCCCCATGTGGGAGGAGCCAGAGTTTCCCAGGAGGCTTCATCTGAAGTTTCTCCTCTGTGTTAGGCTTCCGTGACTTGAATGTGAGAGAAACACTGCAGTTTGCGATTTAATCACAAATCCTCCCATCACCTGATCAAAAGGCTCTACCATCGGGATGAGGCGCTTTCAGAGATGGTTTCTCAAAGAACTAGCCAGTTGTTTCAAATAAAACAAAAGAATCTGCCACTTAGTACATGTTTCTGGTCTAACAGGAAACACGATGTGGTTAGGAGGGCCCTAGGCACTTTTGTGGGAAAGTCCTGGCCATCTGTCTCCTGTGTTCCCTGGGACCAGGAAAGAACAGGAGGGCCTGAGAGCCAGGGGCAGCAGAAACAGAACCGGAGATGTATCTGTTCACATTTCCAATCTTTCTAATGGCTAAGAAGCCCTTACTGAAGGGGTTGAGGGAGAGTGAGTTCTCAAAGAGAAGCTGTGTCAGAGAGAAACACTGAGAACCTTCGTACCCAAGAAGCCTGAAGCCCACGCGAACATGACAAGGGTAACGAGTACTTTATTTTTTTGAAGTTCCTAATTATATAACTAGTGTTTGTTTACTTTATGTATTATTTCTAATACAATCTTCTTTCATGTTTGTTTAATGTTTTGCTGTTTCAGTGAAGAGATCTGATCTTGACCCACTGGGGATGGAAAAGTACTAGGCCAACTGGGGGAGGCAGACTGGCAGGAGAGGGCCCTTCCTTGAAGCTGCCCCGGGGGGGGGGGGGATGTCACCTATCCTGTGGGGACAGCTTTTTGGTAGGCGAATAAGCCCTGCTCAGCAGAAACTGCAACATCAGGAGGAGATAGCCATGAAATAGCAAATTTTATTCTTTCATCCAGATAGCAAGCTTCAAAAGGCAGGGGCCAAGTCTTATTCTTTTAAAAGAAAGAGAAACAGAGGTATGAAGGGAGGAAATAAGAGTGAGAAGGAATAGACGAGGGAGTGAAGTTTCTTCAGGGGCTGCGTCAGCATTTACACGAACTCCTAGGTGCTCAGCACTCAGTTATTTCTGGAGTACCCATGGAGCATCCTTCCAGACTGATCTTCAAAATGGATTTTCTTGAAAAACTTTTACATAATTAATTTTATGATGATTTTTATTTGTAGATAATATATTTTTCTTTAAACAATATATTTTAAAATAATATATTTTTGTATTTAAAACATTTTAAAGTAAAAATTTAAATATCTTTTTTCTGGTTATTAAAAAGTTATAATGTATATTGTTATCTAACCAAGGGTGGTTAAATAATTTAAAGTCTTCTTATAAAAGATTAGTAATTTTAAAATATAGGTATAAAGAAGAGTATAAAAATTAGATTTACTCTTATCACCCAGAGATATCTAGTAGTAACATTTTTTTTACAAGAAAGTTGCTACTTTTAAAAAATATATATATTTTATTGATTTTTTACAGAGAGGAAGAGAGAGAGATAGAAACATCGATGAGAGAATCATCAATCAGCTGCCTCTTGCACACCCCCTACTGGGGATGTGCCCGCAACCAAGGTACATGCCCTTAACCGGAATCGAACCTGGGACCTTTCAGTCCGCAAACCGACGCTCTATCCACTGAGCCAAACCGGTTTCAGCATAGTAGTAACATTTTAATGCATTTCACTGTGGGTTTTTTTCCTGTCCAGGAATATTCTAGCTTCCCCTTAAGGATGGCCCTATGCCAGCCTTATCCTTACAATTTAGATAGATACAAACATTATACAGAAATTAATTTACTGCCCTAGCCGGTTTGGTTCAATGGATAGAGCCTCAGCCTGTGAACTGAAGGGTCCCAGGCTCGATTCCAATCAAGGGCACATGCCTGGGTTAGGCAGCCGATCCCCAGAGGGGGTGTGCAGGAGGCAGCTGATCAATGATTCTCTCTCATCACTGATGTTTCTCTCTGTCTTCCCCTTCCTTTCTGAAATCAATAATATTTATATATGTATTTTAAAAAATTATCCTTAAAAAAAAGAAATTTACTTTAAAAATACATATACTATGTCATTATCTTCCCATTGTTTTAAAAATCTATTTCGAAAAGACATTGAACAAATATACTTCTGTTCTCCCCTTCTATTGGACATATACATTACTTCTACATTTTATTCTTAAAAGTAACACTGCAGTAAATAGCCTTGTATGTATATTTTTTACCAAATCTCTGATACATATATAGGGTGTCCCCCCAAAATGTGTACACACATACACTTTAAATAATTATAAAGGCAGTGTTTATTAAAATACATCTCATTTTCAAAATTGATTTGTCAGCTGTTAAAACGTGTATATATTTTGGGTGGGACACCTGTATATATGTTAGTTTCTTCATTCATTAAATGGATTAAAATAATAAAGTCATTAGGAACATTAAATGATATAATGCTTAGAAATCACTAATATAGTGCTTGCCACATGGTAGGTAGTCAGTAAGTATAATAATTCATTTCATTATTTTTAAAAACTTCTAAAGGCTTACCAAATATATTATAATACCCACACAACTTTCAATTTACAGCTCTAGCTTATTTCACGGAACGCCCACTGAGGCCAACTGCTTAAAATATTTTTCATTTAGCTCACCATCTCAAGAAAGCTATTATTGGATAAAAGATTCAAAATGACAGAATCAGTTATGAGTTAGGGCCATTGTGAAAGCTAACAGGGAACCAAGAATTTCATCACAGCACTAACTCACCACTCTAGTCCTTATTAATGCAAAACTGTAACCGCTGCGGTACCGTGGGGTGTGGCCCTCAGCCACTGGAGACACTTCTTCCTTCTCGGGTTCTGGCTCTCTTAATCACATACTTTTCATACCAACACCTTACAAACAGGCTGGCTTCCTGAGGTCTGCGGTTAAAAGGGCCATCTCTCTCCCACACCGACTAGGCTGCTTTGCTACCTTCTGTATCTGGCGTTCTGAGCAGCACAGCCTTGTTTTATTTCCTATCTCTGTTGGTGCTGACTCCTTCAGCTTCCACCTCTCCCTGTTAGTACTGTTTCCGTCCCAGTTGCACTGTTTCCTTTCCTTTCCTTTTTGTTTTTCTCCCACCTACTGGGGTTAAAACTAGTGAGCTGCAAAATCAACTGTGTACATGGGGAAATGAAGTTGTGGCAGAAACCATTTTTTAAACATCGTTAAAATTCTTTCAACCTTAATTCCATCAGATTTATATTATTCATGGATTTGTATTTTAAACAGTGCCAATGCATAGTAAGAGCACAATAATGTCTCTTCAAAGTCTCAGTTTTTCTGATCCACACTATTTGTTGGGAATGTTGTTCACTTAAAAACATTTTTTTAAAAATTGAATTGAGAGAGAGAAGGGAGGGAGGGAAAGGAGGGAGGAAGGGGAGGGAGGGAGGGAGGGAGGGAGGGAGGGAGGAAAAGAAAGGGAGAGAAACATCAATTTGTTGTTCCACTTATTTATGCCTGCATTGGTTGCTTCTTGTATGTGCCCTGCCTGGGGATCGAACCCACAATCTTGGTGTATTGGAACCACACTCTAACCAACTGAGCTACCTGGCCAGGGCTGGGAATGTTGACTTTTTTAAAGTCAGAAAATAGAGTGATAACTTTAAATCTACAAAAGATTCCTTCCTCGTTGCCAACTGTTTTTGAAAATAGAAAACAGAAGTCCTAAAGCTGTCAGTACTGTTGGAAAGAACAAAGGAAGTTAAACCATGTAATGTCTTCCTAGCAACAGCTGAAGTTTATTCCACACATACTACTAAACTGCTTTCCCTTGCTTTACTCTCACCTCATCCCATGAGGCAGCCTTTTTACACCTATCCATAGGTTAAGAACTGCCTGGGTCACATGGTTAGGAAATGGCAATGCTAGGATTCACACACACACACACACACACACACACACACACGCACGCACGCACGCGCGCGCACAGGCAGTGTGGGCGCTTAGCCACTAAGAGGCTCGTTGATCTTACAATATGTGTATCTTAATGTGCATATGTCACATAAATCCTTTACATTTGCTGTAGATGAGCATTCCTGGTGGCGGAGGCTCTCAGGTGACTATGCTGGCAGGCCCCTTGCCTTAGGAAATTACAGGTGCAGAGAAGAGACACGGGAGTGCTGAGTTATAAAAGAGTGGGTCACACATGCTGCTTGGAAGCGACCCAAACCCTTCTCCAGGGCTGGCATTTCCCGCCTGCTCCAATCAGCACATGCAGTCCCCTCCTCCCTACACCCAACCATGCATCCACCAAGCAGTTGCCTCCCTGGCAAGTACAGAGGGAGCCCCCGCGCGACTGTGGTGAGAGCAACTGGGTCCTTGCCCTTGAGGAGGTAGTCACAGTCTTATTTCTTCCTAGTGAATGATGGGTGTACCTGATCCAAGTCATTCCGCAGAGCAATCTTGCTGGTTACAAGTTCATGGGCGAGGTCATCATTCTCTTGTTCCAGCCTCATGCTGGCCTCCTGTAATCTCCGGTTCTCCCTCTGCAGAAGAAAAGCAACAACCAGAGGGGGGTGTTAGTGCCTGAGGTACTGGCAGCAAACAGATGGGTGGTGAGGAAAAACAAGCAGCAACGACTAGTGAACTTGAAGGTGTAGAGGAGAAGGCGCAGTGGCACAGGAGGGCAGGACAGCTGTCTGGGAAACAAACAGTAAGTTAAGCGAGCGGTGCGGAGGCGGCACTCTACCCCGTGAACTTACCACCCCCCCTCCCTAAACCCCCAGGCAGGACTTCATTATTAAAAATGTGCCACAAAAAAGCAAAATTTCCACACATACCCCCAATCCGTGAGGTTTCCACAGGCCTAGAATGCACACACAGGCAGTTCTTTGTTGGAAACATGCATAATAACCCCCCCCCCCCGGCCTCAGGGGAAACCACAAGACATAGTAGGGCCAGAATAGGGGGAAACCACTAGGAAGGGCTTCATGTTGTTTTTCCCAATATCAGGGGTCAGGATGCTTGGGTTCGTGACTTTGCTATATGACAAAAGTAAAAACATGTTTACTTTTCTGAACACCAATTTTTGTGTTATAAGAACAATTGTCCTTACGATTGCTTTGTTGTTGTTTTTTAAATTTCAGATTAAAGGATTCCGGGTAAAATACATTACTGAGCTATTTTTTCCCCTTGAACTCCTTGGGGAAAAAAAAATCTGAATCAAAGTTATATGATGAGAGAACCAAGTCACATTGTTAGGAAGCGAGATCTCCCCTAAACTAGCCATTATGACTTGTGTACATTCCCATCAGAATAGCAATGTGGTGCTTTCCATTCCAAAGTATCAAAAGTGCTTTTTTTCTGTTATTGTTTGCAATTACAGGAGGCTCCAGAGAGCTGACAGGGAAGATTTCAATGTGATGACACCTTCCTGTTTTTCACATTTACACTCCTAGCCATGCCTTCTGCAAGGGTGGCAAAAACTCAGACAAAGCAGTGTTGCACAACCAGGAGATAAATCTATGTCCTGAACGAGATTTCGTCATGGCATACTCTGTACGTGTGAGTGTGTGCTTGTGGCAAATTTTGTCTTCTATAGGACAACCTAGGGTTTGTTATATGGAAAGAAGAAAACATAATTTCTTTTTTTCTTTTAGTTTTTTCAAAGAAGGGCTAAGAAACATGGTACAGGCAATGCCTGCGGCTGTCCTGGGGGCAGTGGGTTCAGAATCAGGCCGGCAGAGAAGCTCAAACCAAACCAGTGCTTGATTCTAACCAGCCAACAGGGTTCCTCGCTGTGCTCTCTTCTGGGGAAGGTAGGCTTGGGTAATCGGGGAATGCTAAAACATTTTTTAAAAAGACACCTACTGAAAAAGATCTTAAAATCTCAAATCACTTAGCTATTTCTAAGTAATTTCATGAATTCCATCCAGTATTAAAATAGAAATGAAAAATATCTAATAACAGAAGAAATGCGTGTGCTTCCTTGAAGAAAAAGAGCTCAGTAGCCGAAACCGGTTTGGCTCAGTGGTAGAGCGTCGGTCTGTGGACTGAAAGTTCCCAGGTTCGATTCCGGTCAAGGGCATGTACCTTAGTTGCGGCCACATCCCCAGTAGGGGGTGTGCAAGAGGCAGCTGATCCATGATTCTCTCTCATCGATGTTTCTAGCTCTCTATCTCTCTCCCTTCCTCCTCTCTATAAAATACCAATAAAATATATATTAAAAAAAAAGAAAGAAAAAGAAAAAGAGGTCAGTAAATGGAAAAATCCCATTTTTACAACAGCATAAAAGATATCAACCGTGGATAGTGGATTATTTTTACTGTTGTCTTTGTGATATATATTTAAAGTTTTCTAAGTTTTCCAAAAGGGATATAGAATATGTATTTTAAAGGTTTAAAAAGTTGTTTAAAAAATAAAAAGCAATTTAGAATTTCAATTCACTGGAAATGATAAAAATGTCAAAAGAAGAATTTTTTTTTTTAAGTCCACTCTTGCTAGATACTCATGTTCTGTATGAAACCACACTAGATCTCCTTTGTGATTGAAATTCAATGTAACTCTCAAAAGTGCTTGCTGTCTGGCCAGAAGCCCTTTGCCACGGTGTTTATTCCTGAAAAGACAGTGTGCTTATGTATAGGGGCAAGTTGTCCTCATCCAAGTCTATCTGACCCCTCCATCCACAGACGCTCTGCCCTCTCACAGAAGCGCAATTACATGGAGACTAAAATAATGGAGAAGCCAGGGCCTGTGCAGCTGAATCTTTCAGTCTATGGGGAAACGATCCAAATTCCAGCAGGGCCTGGAGCGTGCATCTTTCATTCCAATATATCTAACTACTGCCCCTATTTGTGGAAACAACTTACATACTTGTCAAAAACTCGGATTTAAAAAGAGATTCAGAAACCTCTCTCATAAATGCCCTCCTTGCCAGGAACAGGCTAGCAAACACCAGCACAGTTTCCTCAACTTATTTCACAATGCAGAAGGCATTTTTCTCATTTCTTTTTAAATCCTTTCCAAAGAGACCCTGGTAAGACTACTACTACACCATCTATTCCTGAGTTAAAGTCCTATTTCTACTGATATTGTACTTGCAGGACTCCGAGGTACAAAAATCTCTCCTACTTGTTTACATCACACTCATCTGGCATAAGAGAAAATGTTGCAGCTACCAGTTTTTCAGGTTACAGGACATGCTTAGAATCGAGTTAAAATAACCTCCAGGTAAAGTCACACGGTGTGAGTGGAAAAGGACTGTTCAAAGTATTCAAGAAGCACAGGTCGCTATACTCTTCCTATGGATCAGAGCTGCGTCTGATGGTTATATTACTTGCGAAAGGGGTTATGAGCTGAGGTAAAATTCTGACTGGTTAAGTTCTCATTCCAAGACAGAGGTAACTCAAATGCTTCTTCACAGACACACATCTGAGGGGTGGAGGGCTATTGGGGAGAAATTATGTGTCTGAAGGTCCCTAAAAAGCACAACAGCCGAGGGCACACCTGGCGTTTGCTTTAGCAGGAAGCTCAGTCCAGTGCCTGCGAAGCAAGCAGCAGAGTGGGGCGTGTGCACTCCGGCTCTGCACTCACAGACGTGGGGAAAGCAAGCCAGAGGGAAAATGCAGTATCCTCCTCCACGCATGACCCTCCTGGCCTCTGAGATGGACATTTCCTATGAAGAGGCGCTTGCCCACACTCTCCAAGGGTTAAAGAGGTTGCATCACTTAGCTGTCTTTTCCAGCCTTTCCCGAGGAACCAAATTCACTTTGGAACTAACTGATTCAAGACAGTTCACCTTCACACCAGAACAGAGAAGAAAGTTTCCTTTATGGGCTTGGGAAAGGTAGTAATCTTGATTGGCTCATTTGGAAACATTAGCAAGGGCTACCCACCCGAGAGAGAGCTGAACTCAGCCCCAGCACCTCAGTCAGTCCGGAGACAGTCACGTGTCCTACGTTTGCCCAAGCAGATGTGCCAAATGCTCAGAGCCTGCAGACCGCACAGGCACATCACTTCCCTGGCCTCACAGCACAGACTCCGGGAGGCACTGCCTCCATCACCCCTCACTCGCTCATCACGCTGTCTGGAACATGCCCCACCTCGTACAACTGGACAACAAGCAGACGATAGCTTTCCCATTCGTCCCCTCCCCTCTTACACAGGGACACACAGCTGGGAGAGTGCAGTAAGCAACTTTTGGGAGGAGGATACTGCATTTTTCAGAGACAGACGCAGCTATTACACACATATAAATTTTAAAAACTTACCTCCTCAAAAGCCATAGATCAACTACCGTTTTCAATCATAGGTACAAAGACAATTGAAAAAAAAAAAAAAAAAAAAGAAGATCCAATGAAATTGCACACCTACGAATACATTTAGGGAATGGCAGGAACAGGAACAGACACTTGTCAATGCTCTTTGGCTTAGATTTGCTGCTTTTCCTTACGAGTGTCACATACTCTAAGTTCTCTCTGGGACTGCGAGCATTCGATGGAAGAAAGTGCACTTGAGGCAGCCAGAGGGCAAGTCTCAACTCAGAAAGACCAAGACTGAGTCACGAAACTCCTCCCTCTCCAGGAACTATTTGCAGTCTGCATGACGATGAAAATGCTGTGTGTAACTATTACCAACTACGGTGTGAGTTGTTTATGCTGTGTTATCAGAGCCGGGTGGAGGGAATTTCCTTAGGCAACAAGGTTGGAAATCTTGCAAAATACTTCATCTTCAGGCAATAAATAGAATGGTGTTGCTGGGCAGGGAAATGCAAAAGAACACTGGGTTCCAGCCCTCCTCCGAGTCTGAGAACTGAAGTTTGGGTGGAATAGTACAAGGAATGGTGAACATCATTTTTTTCCAAGATGAAGAAACAGAAAAATGTGAGCTGGCAATCAAAAGAAAATAAACTGAGCCTTAAAGGAAAAAATGATGGGGAAGGAGGCAGCTTCATAAACTCCAGCTGTGTTTGGGGTGTGTTGTCCGCTGCTGTAATGAATTCTTGGCATGTTTTTGAAGACATTTAAGGGCCAGGAGAAAATGTTTTCCTAAAGGATCCAGTGCAATTTTATGAGCAACGGCACACTCAGTTCTCATTTATTTTGCTTATGGATACCTCTATCAAAAGAGGTGATAATCATCAAATTCAAATTTTATAGGTTTTTTTTTGACATTCAAAGACAAATGTTTATACAGAAAATGCTAAAATGTCTACATTGTAAATGAAGATTTTAGAAAGAAAACCTTGATATTTAGAATTGTTTTAGGCTCTTCCTTCACCCAACATATCCAATTTTATCTGGCTGGTAAAAAATTTAAAAATTTGAAATGTCAAACTAAAAACAAGATTTGTCAGTAATAAGTAATGGCAGTTGGCAAACCAGACTGCATTTCATTTAGCATTAAAATAAAATCTTAGATTATAGCACTGGGGATAGCAAACTTAATGTAAATGACCAGGTAGTAAATATTTTCGGCTTTGCAGGCCATATGGTCTTTGACACTAATCAACTCTGTCGTTACATGCAAAAGAAACAATAACCAAACA